TTTGGTGATAAACTTCCCGGGGGGCTACTTCGGGCTAGACGCCAACTATGGCTAGTTTCTTGGCAACGCATAACTTTTGAACTCGTCCTCCGTATATACGCTTATTTCACGTTGTCGCCTGATCACAGCCTCTACGCCGTGATGTGACCAACAATATTATATCGTCGGTGGTCACTAGGGTATCCCTGTACATAGAATGCACCTTCCCGAGCTGTGGACAGGCCACGACCCGATTCCAGCATGGCGACCAATGCAGATGCCGACTTTTGAGGTCATCACCAACACCTACTAGGGTGAACAACACCACCTCCACTACTGGCGCAAGGCGATGCGTGTATTACGCAAGTAGACAGATAGAATGATTACATGTGTTTAATTAACATGGTACGGAGGAGGACATGAGTTTGAAATTGACTACGTATCGCTGTGCGAGCCTGACATTTGAACTTTGCAGGTGGTGCAAATTGCCTATGTCGGGGACAATTCCTGCGCCACAGAGTCTGTTAACCTCGCCCCACGCGATCAACATGCCTGTGAATGTATTATGAAAACCACAAACCCATTCCGTTATTAGGATAGCATTTTGAATCTTAACAAACGTCGCGCGCGACGATAGCGGGGCTTGCCGTTTTCTGATTGGCGTGTCAAAGTTTGCCTAGGTACCTCAGTAGCATGTGTATCATGCGAGATCGCCTCAAACTCCCCGAGGTGTGTTTGATTTCTCGCCCGAAGATACTCATGTGCTAGTCAAGGCTACTGCTTTTTCGCAACCAACAAGTCCGTATGGCAATTCCGTTGCCGAGCGACATCCCCAAAGCAGGCAGCTGTGGGTGCCTCCTTTGCTCCGAAGAGCAAGGGGCTTTGTTGATTTCCGAAACAGCTAGCAGGGGCAGGCTCTCCGTTCTTTTTCTTACGTTCGACTGCGGCGAAAGAATCGGGCATCGATTAATTAATTCAAAGCCATCGCTCACATGTCGATGAGAGTAAAGGGACTATGAAATCTGGATTGATCGCCATGGGTGGGGCCTGTCTCACCACGTCGTATCGCTTGGTGGGAGGCTGGAACTGCTGGCGAGAAGTCTCAGACTCTCAGCGCAGGCGCTACGTCTGTTAGCTTCAAAGTACGCAGTAATTACTATTTAGGCAAAGTCGCGTCTTACAGTACAGCAAGTACATGTACGTGCACTGGTTCCATGATTCGTCTGATGATCCGATCCACTTCGCGTCCGGTTCCTGGAGGCTGACAGCGGCAGCAGCTCAGCCTGTTTGCGCCATCAGTCTACTAAATAATAGTACGTACCTACCTACCTATAGGCTGTATACGCACTACGTAGCGTCCGCAACCTAGCCCAAGGGGTCGGTCTGGTAGTCATTGGCCTGGACTCACAAGTTGATCATGAAGATGTAGCTGTTAGGCGCTCGTCAGAAAACGGCTTGCACACGATGTGTGGTGTGCTGGCAGCACTCATCAACAGCAGCCAGAAACGCCTACGAAAGGCGCAGTGTCTTTGTGCGTACGTCCCGTCGACTATTATTATCTCTCCCCCGACACCTCGGTTGACCTCCCCGAAGGCTCGGGGGTGCTCTCAACACAGTTGCCTCGGCCAGGGCGTGGCTACTGGATGCAGGCTTTCTCTACCTTCCGTATCTCGGTGATTCGGATCTAGATGTTTCTCTGCTTCCTTCCTTTCTCAAACCTAATACCTTGACATTTGTTGCATGAGATTTTGTCACCGTATCTCAAAGCCACAGGTACTATAGTTGCGACCAGTCATGATGGTCTGCTTGTGGATCAACCAGGCCTTGATGTGTCCTGTAGCTCAAACTCTGATTTTGGCAGTGGGCCCGCTGCGAGAAGAATCATCCAGACTGGACTAGCCATTTACCATCTTGAGATGCGCCGACATGGTCCTCGAACAGAAGTGCCACGGCGACAGTCTCGTTGAGACGGAGTACACGCCGCATCATGTGCCAGCATGAACAATAACCACAAATTCTACCTTTCTACTCCAGAAGGGTAACATATCCTGTCAGTGAAGCCGCTCGTTGCTAGCACTGATGTCCGTCGGAAGCCTATACCACGCAGGCGGAAGTGCTTGCTCGTCTAGACAGCGGAACCTCGACAGGCTGGAAGCGGACGTGGCCGCCCGCCAACACGAACCTTTCTTCTCCCCAAAGGACTGTTGGCTATCCATCACCGCTGTTGGCGATACGCGGGATAGGCGGCTGGCCAGCATGTGTTCTGCATGATCGAGCGAGTCCATGTCTGCGGGCGTCCTTGGCTTGATCAATATTACCACGACCTGACCAAGTGATTGGCATGATTACTGGTGAATCAATGCATGTGCCCTCCGCGACAGCGTAGATATTGCGAGGCGCGTAGCAGACTAGAGGACCCGGGCAGAAACACCTACGTTCCGCTGCCGCACTGTCTGAGATATTTCCGAGGAAACTGTTAGTGCAGGTGAGACGATACCGCCGTGACTTGGAAACTTCGGACAGCCTCGTTTGTGCTCCTATCCTGTAAAGGTCCACGGATTAACAAAGACCCCGAACTTGTAAGCTTTTTGATTGGCTTTGCAGCCTCCGCTACGTGCATACCCGAGACAGGCGCACTGACCAAGCTGTCCGAATTGTTTAAGTTGCCAGACTCACCACTACAGTACCGTAAGCTCTCGACAAAGTCGCTAGCGCTGGTTGGTCTTGGCTGACCAGGACCCCTGTTAGAAGTGGTGTCAATCAATCAGTGACCATTGGGCTGCACGGGTCATCTAGGCCTGAGTTCTGCACAGGGCTAGAGTATGACTTACACTTTTGCACAGGTACGGGTGCATGGCGCTAAACTGAAGAAGGCTAGATTTTAGCACAGCGCTAGCGACTTTGTCGAGAGCTTACGGTATGTGTAGTAATTACGGTATCAAAACTGCTGTTGGCTGCTGGCATAATTACATGGATTATTACCGCCAACAGGCCACGGTGCGCAATGTCCAGACCTTTTTCACCCAATGGGCTTGCTCCCTGTCGACAATCCCCGGCAGGCAGATAGCTGAGACCTCGTGCGAGTTGTGGTAGGCAGATTTTGAGGTGCTCCTTCCACGTATCTATCCACGTACCAAGACAAGCAGTGAGAAGCAACGGAAATCACTGCAAGACATGCGTGCGCTGATACAGCAGGCAGCAGCACCGCGCACGCTATAGAATGCATGTTTTATGTGTGACGGTGATGCGGCGGGCGTCCAGTCGTCTGACTACGTGCATAACTACATATACTTGTACTCGATGGGCGTGGAATGGACTCGCTGAGCTCTACCACCAATGACCTAGCTATGTGGAATGCAACCAACGGTGAAGGGCTACATGGCAGATCTTGCTTTTCGATGCATGGTCTCACAGATATCGTTTTCAGTCTCTCAACTGGGGGGAATTTGCGATGTAATATGCAGTGCTCAGCTGCACATATGCGCGTGGCTCGGTTGGGACAAATCTGTTTTGTCACCCTCCGCCGCTGACTCCACGAGCTGCTGTACGTACCAAGTTGCAAACTCTACTACGTACTTTAAAACAACCAATCAACCCGTGGGGCACGATCAGGGATTGTCGAAAGCCAAGCCGATCCAGACAACCCCTGGCTTGTCTGGCGATCAACGCTCATTGCTGCCCTGGAGAAAGTGGGATTGTTGGAAATGGGATTGTCATTGACGAAAAGTCCATCCCAAAGCTTGAGGGGCCTTTCGATACGCGTGACAGACCCGGGGGGCCGGCAGATTCCAAGACTTCAAGGAGGTGCACCCGGGGCCCGTTTCCGGCTCCACAAGCACATTTCCTTCAATGATCATGAATGAATATTATTAGAAGAAGATTGCTTTTCTCCGAGAGAAGACTTACTCGCAGCTTCAAGCACAGCAATGAGGAACGTTTCTCACACTGTCCATCAGCAACGACAAGCGCGGGCTCTATACAGTGTGCAAGTTTCACAACCCAAGCGTCTCACAGCCAATTGCACTGTGCTGGCACAGGCAGCTTCAAGTTCAACGTCATGCAACTTCCGTGCCAATTCACGTATCAACACAACACCATGACGTCGTGTCACGGTATTGTCCGATCTCAAAAGAACTGTTGAGGAGCGTTCAAAGGTCTTCTATCTGGTTGAGCACAACGATTTTGAGAGGGATTGTCGTCGCCATTGATGAAACTGCTCGTCAACGGATCCTACCCCGCCAACGTCCCAACTCCTCCAATAAATGTTACGCCAGATTTTCCCACGCGACAATGAGCGAGCTGCAGCGGGCGTGGGCACGGCAAAAAGTCGCTATACCGGGCGATCGTTTCGGAGAAGTAGACGAGGAGCAGGAAGTGGACTTCGTCCCTGAGCTCCCTGAGCACGCCGAGCACCCAGACGACGACTCATCGTCTGCATCGTCAGTCTCATCCACTGGCACCATCATTCCATCTCCCACACAGCGGCTCTTTGCTCGCCCTCAAGGGTAAGAGTCGGCATCATCATCTTGGCTATCTTGATTCTGACCTGCAGCAGCGTTTCGCGAGGGAAGAACTTGGAGCAGATACCATGGACGACATACTTTGAGCGTGAGTTGTATCTCAGCCCTGAGACCAACCCTGGCTTGACGTACCATGCCTACCTCACGTCGCCGACCGAGAAGGGTCCTCTGTTTGTGATGCACCACGGAGCTGGTTCGTCCGGTCTCTCCTTTGCACTTGTTGGATCTGAAATCCGCAAAAGGCTCCCGAATGCCGGCATACTGTCGATAGACTGCCGAGGGCATGGGCTCACCACCACTCCTAACGGGACTGAGCTAGATCTGCGGCTCGACACCTTGTCTTCCGATCTCCACGCGACGATCGAGCTTGCCAAAGCAAAGATGGGCTGGAGGCAGCTGCCTCCAATCATGCTGGTGGGACATTCCCTCGGGGGCGCCGTGGTGACTGACCTTGCAAAGACCGGCTTGCTTGGTGCGGCTCTGCTGGGGTACGCGGTGCTGGACGTCGTCGAGGGCTCAGCCATGGATGCTTTGCAGAGCATGCAGACGTATCTCTCGACGCGGCCCGCTGGCTTCTCCTCGTTGCAGACTGGTATTGAATGGCACGTTCGGACGAGGACATTGCGCAATTCCACTTCCGCGCGGACCTCCGTCCCCGGGCTGCTGGCACGAGACGAGCATGCTGATACCAGCAGGCCTTGGCGGTGGAGGACGAACCTGGCCGCCACCCAACCATTCTGGGAGGACTGGTTTGTGAGCTTGAGCAAAAAGTTTCTAGAGGCGAGAGGGGGCAAAATGCTGCTCCTCGCTGGCACCGACCGGCTGGACACTGAGTTGACCATTGGCCAGATGCAAGGTGAGCATCGAGGAACTTTCCGTGCAGTCGACTTTCATCTTGTTAACCTGTTGTGTAGGGAAGTATGCGCTTCAGGTGTTCCCCGAAGCAGGCCACTTTATACACGAAGATCTCCCCGAGAGGACGGCGGTGACACTGGTGGACTTTTATCGCCGAAACGATCGGAGCACACTGGTGTTGCCGCCCAAAGTCTCAGACCTCCTTGCACAAGGGAAGCGTGTGTAAAGCTTTCTTTTATGACGGTCTGGTAATTACCAGCGCACACACGAGGTGCTTGAAAACTTCATGTCTGATAAACAAGACCAAACCCGAAGTCTGGCGACATGCCCCGAGACAACATGGCGTATGGAGGCTAGAGATGCCTTCGCCACCCCTAGTGGATAATAGTCTCGTTCCGAAAGAGGTCAATTGAAGGAACACAATTAGAGCTCAAGCCGGCACATTACTCGGATCTCATGCGTCGCTGGATTTATTGCGGACTTTTTGGTTGTGCCAAGACGATTGCCAGATCAGTCTAATTGCGCCCGATCATTCGGGGCCCAGGCGCGGTCCGATTGACGTGCCGACGTCCGCGCCATCTGTATCCGTATTACCACCTCTCTTCCCCTGCCCACGTCCGCTCCGCTCTCTGCTTCACTCCTCAATCGCCAACACCCGTCAATCGCTACAATGAAGACCTCTGCTGTTGCTTGCCTCGTCGCCGCCGGCCTCGCCGCCGGGCAGGGACTTCAGGACGTCCCCAAATGCGCCGTACGTACATGCACACCCGGAGTCGTCGCCCCCAACAGCGCCCACGCACCATCGGGACGTATGTGAGCTGACCCCCCCGTCTCTAATAGGCCCCCTGTATCGAGCAGGCCACCACCGGCAACCAGATTGGCGGCTGCGGCCAGTTCGACATTGAGTGCATCTGCAGCAACGACGACTTCCTCCAGAACATTGCCTGCTGCCTCGAGGACAAGTGCGACGCCAGCGGCAAGGCGGCGGCCGTCAAGTTCGCGCAGCAGATTTGCTCGACCGTCAGCGTCGACGTGCCCAACCAGGTGGAGTGCAAGGCCAGCAGCAGCGGCGGCAGCGGCAGCACCACCACCGAGAGCAAGACGGGGACGGCCACGGAGACGGCTACCGAGACGACTACCGACACGGCCACCGACTCGCCTTCCGCCACCCCCAGCTCGGAGCAATCAAAGACGAGCAGTGCAGCCAACTCGCAGGAGACTGGCGGCGACGGCAATGCGGCGACTGGTCTGAGCAACGTGGGCGGTCTGATTGGTGCCGTGGTTGCCATGGGCTTTGCCCTGTAATGGTCGAGCACTGGCGAAGGTTGAGGGCTGTGGCGGAAGACTACGTATATGTACTACGAAGCACAGCGATTATGCACTTGTATTTTCATGTCTTTCCGTGTAGATCTAGTGGCCTAATGTATGTAGGGGGCGTGCGTGGGAGACCTTGCGTGCCAGAGCTGGGCTTGAGTGCACGAGCACTTTTCAAGCCCTGTTTGTGGAGGACGGACAGACAAATACGTACATGTACTCACGATCCTCCGCAACTCTAATATCAAGTTCACGAACCAAGATGTTTTCCCTGTCAGCTGTGGAGTACCTAACTGAATCCAAGCCAAATATGCGGCGCTGCTGTTAAGAACAAGACCCTGACTCCACCACTGACATCACCCCCACATCGATTGCCTGAGCAATATGGAGAAGGCATCCCCCACCACATGTGCCCTCGCGAGAGCTGCTCTCATTCCCTTGATCCCTTGCTCACTCTACGTACCTCACAGAAGACAAAGCCTGGACAAAAGACCGTCGTCAACATGGCCCCGAAAACAGTCATTGCCCCCTCCATCCTAGCGGCCGACTTTGCCGAGTTGGGCCCGGCGTGCGCGAAGACGATGAAGCAAGGCGCAGACTGGTTGCACGTTGACATCATGTATGCGCCCACCCATCCATTCACTCCAACATGGCCATGAGATACGTGTAGACTGGGCAAGCTGACCACCGCGCCACAAGGGACGGCCACTTTGTGCCCAACATCACATTCGGGCCCGCCGTCGTCGCCAAGATCCGCAAACACGTCGACCAGCCCGCCGAGAGCTTCGCGCGGGGCACGTTTGACTGCCACATGATGATTGCAGAGGTCAGGAGCTTTCTCACAGATTGTAACTGGAACGCGCGCTGACCATGCGCAGCCCAAGAAGTGGGTGAAGGACATGAAGAGTGCCGGCTGCGATCTGTATTGCTTCCACTACGAGGCTGCCTTCTCCAGCGCAGCCGAGAGTCCCGAAGAGAAGACCGAGGAGAAGACAAACCCCAAGGCCCTGCTACGGTATATCCACGACCAGGGGATGTTGGCGGGCATTGCGATAAAGCCCGACACGCCCGTGGATGTTCTCTGGGACATTCTCGAGAGCTCGGATGAGAAGGAGAGGCCAGATGTAAGTATTGCCTGAAGCAGACTACTGAGAAAGCTCTTGCTCACGAATGTATTAGATGGTCCTCGTCATGACAGTGCACCCGGGCTTTGGTGGTCAGAAATTCATGGCATCCGAGCTGCCCAAGGTGCAGGCCTTGAGAGCCAAGTACCCCGAGCTGAACATTGAGGTGGACGGAGGCCTCGGTGTTGGCACCATTGACCAGGCGGCCGATGCTGGAGCCAACGTCATTGTTGCAGGCAGCGCTGTGTTTGGAGCCAAAGACCCCTCGGAGGTCATTTCTGTGCTGCGCAAGGCCGTTGACGACAGGGCTGGCAAGCTGTAGATGAAACTATGTAGAAGATGACACTTTCATGTATAGACGAGGATGCTCTTATCTTATTCCCCTTTCTTGCGAACGGCCGCTATCTACTACTGTACTTTCTGCGCTGAGCTCTGCCCAATGAGCTTGCCCAGTAGGGAGCATAGACCCTGTATCTCTTCAACGCTGTTATAGTGAACCATACTCACGCGCACGACGCCCTCCGGTCCAAGCCCGAGTATATCCCGGACCAGACGCTCAGAGTAGAATGAGCCCCAGCGGATACCATAGTTCGACTCGGCTTCCACAGCCAGCACCAGGGCCTTGGAGTTCCATCCTTCCACGGTGAAGCTGACAGTGGCAAGTCGCGTGGCTGGCGAGTTGTCTCCAAGCCCATAGATCGTGACGTTTTGAAATTCCTGGAGCGTCTTCACCAGAGTCGAGTGCAGCTCCCACTCGTGCTGGGCAATGTCCTTGAACCGGCTCTCTGCGCCGCCCGACGGGGTGAGATAGTCCACCACTTCCGGGACCGCCTGGGCCAGCTCGTAGCTTGCGCCCGACATGCCAAGCTTGTTGTCGAGCGAAGTCTGGGGGTTGAAGAAGTGGCCCAGCGACCCGAGATGCTGCTGCGCCCGCCAGCTGCCGTAGAGCATGGCGATGTGCGGTCCAAAGACCTTGTACCACGAGAAGGCGTAAAAGTCCACGCCGAGGTCCTTAACATCGATGGGTCTGTGGGGCGCGTAGGCGACGCCATCCACGCAGACCAGGGCGCCCACAGAGTGCGCAGCGGCGGTAATGTTCTTGATGTCGTGGACGTAGCCTAGGATGTTGCTGGCATGCGTGCAGGTGACCAACTTTGTGCGATGCGAGAGAAGGTCGTACAAGGAACCCGCGTAGAGGTTCGGGTCCTCGCTCCCACTGGGCTTCCACCACTTGAGCACCAACTCTTGACGCTTGGCCAGCGCAACCCACGGGGCAATGTTGGCCTCGTGGTCGATCATGGAGACGATGATCTCATCGCCCGGCTCAAAGTTGAGGACGTACGAGAGATTCCGGAACAGCTGGGTCGTGGAAGAGCCGAAGACAACCTCATCCTGGTGGGCGTTGATATACCGCGCGCCAGCTTCGAACGCCTTGCCGAAGCGGCTGGTGGATGTCTGAGAGACATGGTACGACGCGCCGAGTTGGACATTGTTATTTGTGAGATAGTCGATGATGGACGTGATCACAGAGTCCAGAGTCTGACTCCCGCCCGCATTGTCCAAGTAGACCTGGTCCTGCTTCAGAGCGGGAAAGCGGGAGCGAACCTGCTCGCTTTGGGTCGAATCCATCGTTGCGATTGGGTTCGTTTGGTAGAGGCTTCGGTGATAAGGTCAAAGGAGATGCAGGAAGACGATGATTCATTCATCAGTGGAGGACATTCTGAATCCTGACCACTACCACTTACAAAAGTACTAGTACCCCTCATCGCCCCAAGAACAACTGCCTACTTGGATACAATGTGTCAACAACGTCCCCACAACACGACCCTCGGCTGGGAAGCGCAAGGTCGTTGCATTGGCATCGCTCATTGACATTTGGGTTCGGTACCTGGCAGGTCCTGCACGGCACAAGGTTTTGCCATTGCTGGTTCAAATGCAACGCCAGTCCATGTGAGGCCCAGGAGCGAACGTGGGGCTTCGTCCGGGCAGGCTGTGGCACGTTGATGCTTCAATTTCATCGCCGTTTGTGGTTACTTGTGGCAATCTGCGTGGAGCGCGAGCACAGTCGAGTCGAGAGGACGTGGCGAGCTCTGCTGTCCTATAATTGGAAGGGGGGCGCTTACAGGTGCAGACGCGAGCGTCTACGCGCTTTTGAGTGACGCTCCGTCAGAAGCGTCTTGGGCCGTTTGATTGATTTGTAGAAGATGCCCAAGTCCGGATTATTCAGGATTGCCAATTGTCCTGGCATACCAGGTTTTGTATGCGTAGAACATCTGGTGAGTGCTGGTAAGGTAATACCACGTACCAGGTGCCTGTAGCTCTGCTCCGACGTCACCAAGGAAAGCCAGCAGCTGCAAGAAACCCCGGCCAAAAAATTCTACGAGGTCTCCAGCGGGATCAGCCCACTCAGACCAAGCTTGATTCCTACTTCAGCCCGCAACGACTCGACCACTCTCTAAATCAGTCCTTTTCCGGTCGTACAAAGGCAAATTCTTTTCGCCATGAAGAGGAAAGCGGAATCCGCCGCCAATGGCAAGGGTGGCCGCGCTTCCAACCCCAAGAAGCCCAGGACCGGTATGCCACCTACTTAACATCTTGCGCCTTGTACAACGATGAGCTAACCATCCTATCAGTGATCACTGCCGAGGAAGCAAAGGGTCGCTTCAGAAAGGGCCTGTTCGACAAGAAAGTCCACGACTCGTACACCCAACAATACGCAGAGTCCGCGCCGTACAAGCATGCCGTGATACACGAACTGGTGGACGACAAGCTGCTGCGCTCCGTGCGCAACGAAATCAAGAACAACGTCGAGTTCACGCCGAAAGAGACCGACATCTACAAGATCCATCAGTCCGGCGACCTCGCCAACCTGGACGGCCTGGACGACGAGTCGTTGGCCAGGCTGCCCTCGCTGCTGTCGCTTCGCGATGCCATCTACTCAGAATCCTTCCGCGACTACGTCTCTCACATCACCGGGTGTGGTCCGCTCAGTGGACGCAAGACAGACATGGCAATCAACGTCTATACTCCTGGCTGCTATCTTCTCTGCCACGACGACGTTATCGGCTCCCGACGAGTCAGCTACATCCTCTACCTGACCGATCCCGACATCCCGTGGCAGGCCGAATGGGGCGGTGCGCTGCGGCTGTTCCCCGTGCAGGAGCTCGAGGGCGACAATGGCGAGGTTGCCAAGACTCCCCTTCCCGATGCTGCCAAGGTCATCCCCCCCGCGTGGAACCAGCTCAGCTTCTTCGCCGTGCAGCCCGGCGAGAGCTTCCACGATGTCGAAGAGGTCTACCACGCAAAGAACAAGGCCCAGCTCGAAAAGCAGGGTGGCCGCGTGCGCATGGCCATCAGCGGCTGGTTCCACATCCCGCAAGAGGGGGAGGATGGCTTTATCAAGGGGGAAGAGGAGAAGAATGCAAAGAACAGCAGTCTGATGCAGCTCAAAGGCAACCCCGCGCAGTACGACACGCCGCAGTTGCAACCGGTCAAGGTGGACAAGCCCACGTCCAGCGAGAGTGATTTTGAGGAAGCGGATCTCGAGTTCCTGCTCAAGTACATTGCGCCGACATACCTCACGCCCGACACGCTGGAGCAGATCAGCGAGCACTTTGAGGAGAATTCGAGCATTGAGCTCGCAGACATTCTCTGCAAAAAGTTTGCAAAGAGACTCAAGGACTACGTGGAGGCAGAGGACAGCAAAGACCTGGGGGACGACAGCAGCGTGATCGAGAAGAAGACGCCTTGGCGAGTCGCTAAGCCGCCGCACAAACACCGATTCTTATACCAGGCCCCTGCCGGACCGAATGACTTGCGCAGAGCGCAGGAGGAATCTCCCATCACAGAGCTTCTTGACATTCTCTTGCCCAGCAGGCAGTTCCGTCACTGGCTGCAGATCGCGACCGGCTGTACTGTCCAAAGCCATGATATTCTAGCTCGCCGCTTCCGAAGGGGCAAAGACTATACTCTGGCCACCGGCCATGAAGGTCAGCCCCGGCTCGAGCTTAGCCTCGGCATCACGCCATCAGGGGGATGGGGCGAGGACGAAGTAGAGCCGGAAGAGGAGGAGGACGCCATGAGCAAGAACGGAAAGGGAAAGGCCAAGGAACCCCAAGAACCCCCCGCGGAAGAAGACGACGTGGGCGGGCATGAGGTGTACATGGCTGCAGCAGACGATACCAACGAAGATGCCGCCGTCTACAAGTCGGCCGCCGACGACGACAACATCCTCTTCTTCCAGAACGCCGCCTGGAACAAGCTCGCCATTGTCCTCCGTGATGGCGGCACGCTCAAGTTCGTCAAGTACGTCAGCCGCAAGGCCAAGGGCGACAGATGGGACATCTCGGGGTCCTACGACGTAGAGGACCAGGAAAGTGACGCAGAGGGCGGTAAGGCTGCTGGACCGGATGATGAAGAGTCGGAGGAGGAGTTTCAGGGATTCTCCGACTCGGCTGATAGCGACTCGGATTGAGCGGGATACTTTGAATATATGATACCTTTGCCCATGTACATGTTTCTGGATGCTGGTCGCTGTGCCGAGTTTCTCGTTGGGTAGTGAGGCAATCCGCGCGGGGCCACGTTGATATGTCAACTGTGAAGTGGCCGTGGGTGTTGGTAACATCTTCAGGTGGATGCAGTGTCGGCAAATCTCACCCGACAGCTTGCTTTCTTGGGACAGACGCGAGTCCAGGCAGGCTCATATCGTACCGGAACACGGCTTTGAGAGACCCTTTGAAATGATCAAGCTCAGCTGCGGATCCACATTCCTGGAGATATCCAAGTGCATCTTTCACCAGAACTCTCAGCCACGAGACACAGTCCATTGTGGCGGACCCATCACGCGCAATGGACCGGCATAGGATATCCTCCACTCTGCCTTTCTCGCCGAGTAGCCGCAGGGCAGGCTCGCAGTCGGGGTGCTTGGGATGGTGGAGCAGCAGGTGAGCCCTCTCAACATCAAGACGGTCACGAAAGCTATCGGCGATCCCAACATGTTCATCGTATAGCTTGGGAGTGGGCTCAGGTCGGTCCAGCTTCGCGTTGACCGTCGTCTCCCACGACACGGTGCGCCATGGGTGGTGCAGGTATCTTCGGAAGTCTTTGCGGGCCAGTCCATGCGTTTTGAAGGCCTTGTCTGCTTCCAACAGTGTCATGATGGCCCCATCCAAGCTGTCCTGTCTCATACGCATCTGGGCTGACACGATGCGTGTAAGGAGGATGCCGAGCCGCCCCGAGTGTTGTTCACTGCTAGTGTCCGAGCTGGCTTCAATCATGCGTGAGAGCCATTGCCACACGACCCCGATCCGGCCTTCTGCTTGCAGATATGGTATTATCTCGGTAAGAAGGTGAATATCCACTGTGAACTGGGGGCTCTGGTATTCCGGCAACGTTTGCAGCCACTGGAGAGCTCTGAGCCCGACATTGGTGTCTGCTAAATTTGTTGGATATCCTGGAGATGCCTTTAATTGTCGGTGTTTGGCCATGAGACACCCTTTTGCGGCTTTCATAGTGAGGACCCCCTTTGCCGCAGCTCGGTCAAAGACATCCATAGGGTCTTGAGGGGTGCCCAGCTGCACATTGTGCTTTAATGCAGGCCGGTCTCTTTGGAGAAATATTGGGTTTTGCAATAGCTGCTGCAGGTGTATGCTCGCTGCAGAAGCCCGCGTGACTGATAGAGAGTCAGAGGATTGCGCACTTGTCCCCACACTGGGATCTGAAGTGTTCTGAGGAAAGCCATGTTCCCGGTCGAGCTGGGCTCTGAAAGATGCTTTGAGATCATCAAGGAGCTTGACTGTCTGTCGTGAGCTCAAGTTTGCCGGCTCGTGATAACCTGCGAAGAGGTTCTTTAGTGACCTTGAGGCTCTCGTGGGATGCATCGCGGCCAGCTGCTGCAGGCACTCTGATGTCGTCTCGAATTCAATGTTGTTACGGCTCGATTGCTCGCACACAGGAAGTGGCCAAGGTACGTAGTACCGGGTAGTCAGGTCACGTGCTGGAAGGGACGGAGCTTGTGTGGGGTCAAGCTATCACTGTGCAGTTTGTCCTCTAGCAAGCGATTATCACATGTATACGTGCGCGGTGGCAGCTCGGAGCATCATTGTCGCAGTAACTGATGGGAAGACAATGCTGTGGTGCAAGTGGCCGTGCTTGTGAGATATGGATAGACGCGTCGTGAAAATTGGGCAGTCGTGCAAGCAAGCCTTTTCTTGCTTCTCCCCGCTAATAGCTTCACAGGGTGTCCGTCTGGCGGCCTACGAATCGCATGTAGTATGCTCGGAGCGATGTCTTCCCGTCAGGGCTGTCCAACTGAGGAATGGCCCGCAAGTTTTGACTTTGGGATTAACCCACTGGTGGCTGCACAGAATGACGTTTCGTATGGCCGACGAAAATGGCAAGCGCAAGGGTGAGGGGCTCGCATCCCGTCAAAGGGCCAGCCTGAGATGTCACGGGGGAACAAAGACTGGAGTCTGGTCTCCTCCTCCGGTAGCCAGGGAGTGGTTTCTTTGCCCTCGCCGACATCAAGGCATTGCTGACGATTTGCTTTTCATGCGCCCGACAGCGCCCAAGCATTGAGCCTCCTGCATCCGGTACCTGAAATGGTCGAGAGCTCAGCCCAGCAGGTAGCATGCATGACCCCACTTTGCGTGGCTGGTGATCCGCACTAGCCAGGCTAGGCCTTCATCAGAGCGCAGCTTGCCCGATGGACGTGAACAAACCAGCCTGAAGTAGATACCTGCGTGATAATTATGTTTGAGCAGACTGTCGGTTGGAGAGGCCGCAATAAATCACTCAACGCCGTGATTGTAGACTTTTCCGTGAAGGCAATTATATCTGTGTACAACGCAGACCAACACGGGTCACGAGACCTTCAATAGCCCAATCAACCCTTGCATGGCAGCGTAGCTCAGCAGCTGAAGAGCGCTGTGAGCGTTGCGGTGCGCTGCGTCAGCCACAACTGGGCCCCATCGAACCGCGTCAGGCCAACAACAAGGGGTGGCGTCACAGCCGCTAGTCAAAACCTTGCACTCCAGGGCAGCAAGCAAATCTCACCTTCGCATCGTCTGCTTGCTTGGCTATCGTTTTGCGACTACACACACAACCTACACACTCCATCCATCCCTGGGCAACCCCTCGAAGCCCTCTCGACGCTCGATAACATCTGCCGCTCGCGCGTCATTCCTGTATTTGCTCCTTGCGTACGCTCAACACCGAACCGATCCTAATTTGTCGCCCTCACCAGGCAGTGCGACCGGGCTTTGGCTACGCTGTCGCCCCTGCGAACCATCTGTCTGTCACTTCTCTGCGAGGAGGACAGCTGACGGTCAAACACATCCCTCTCAATTGAGCCGTACACAAACAAAGATTCTCACATCATGTCCGAGGTAGCAGCTCGGTCCTCCGCTTCGCGCGGCAGAGGCTCAGGCCGTGGCGGTAGAGGAGGCTTCGCCGGCCGTGGAGGCCGGAGGGCGAATGGCGACAAGACCGAGACGAGTGCCGACACTTCGAGCTCAGCCTTTGAGGACGAAGGCGAAATTGGCGAGCTCCGCAGGCTCTATGGCAGCAAGACGGAAGTCATTCGCGAGATGTTCCCGGATTGGTCAGAGGTGGACGTGCTGTTTGCACTCCAAGAGACCAATGGCGACGAGAACGAGGCCGTGACCCGCATCGCCGAGGGTATTTCTCCCAGCTTTCCCGCTGCAGCATCACTCCGCTTACATGTATCGCAGGTACCGTGTCTCAATGGGGCGAAGTCTCCAAGGCCAAGAAGCCTTCGAAGCCCAAGGCCAAGGATACGCCCGCGTCGACCTCTAACAACGACTCCTCAGCTGCGTCCGGCTCGCGTCCCAGCCGTGGAGGCCGCGTCGCCTCGGAGGGTGGCCGTGGTAGGGGCAGGGCTACTGACCGCGGTGGTCGCGGTGGACGTGGACGTGCCACCACCGCAGCCCCAAGCGCAGCTCGTAAGGAGAATGTACCGCTATCTGTCCCGACTGAGGAGGTCCCTGCATGGGGAAAAGACACTTCTGCGCCCGCGACACAGGTCACTGAAGAGAAGTCCGCGCCTCAGGCTGCCACCGCCACCGAGACACCGCAGTCGTCTGCCCCTCAGGCCAAAACGTGGGCGAGCATGTTGCGACCGAAGCCCGCACCCAAGGCTGCCCCCAAGCCCCAGGAGCCCGCGGCCCCTATTGCGACCGAACCAGTGGCTCCCGAAACTACCACCCAATCGACACCTGCCGAGAGCGAGCCGCAGCCTGCCGATGTTGACCAAGAAGCTACGCCGATTCCTGAGCCAGCCGTCCCTGCTCTCACGGAGCCAGAAACCACCTCGACGCCCGCCATCACCCCCTCACACGACGAGCTCACCGAAACAAACCTTGAGCATGTTGCAGATGTATCTCACCCACCAGCCACCCACACTGCCGCAAGCACCACTGCTGATTCTTGGGATCCCCGACAGACTAGCAATGCCACGCCCCTCTCGGCTGCCCAGCAGCAGCACCAAGCGAACCGCGACACCTCCAGCGGCTTTGCCGCTTCGGCGATCAAGGCGACAGAGCAGCGTGCGGCTCGGACGCCCGCTTTCCAGAGGCGTGTGCTCGACCAGGAGGAGGCTGTTCGCATGCCCGGCGGCAACCGCGACGTCGACCGTGCGGCTGTTCAGTTCGGTGCCTTCAGCCTAGGCGACGACGAAGAGGCAGCCGGTGGCCGCGAAGAGGCTGAGACTCGCGCGCAGCCCCCAGCCGAATCTCCTGTGTCCCACCCCCGTACTGCCCTCCCTCCATCGACCCTACCTGGCGCTTCCCAGGACATCAACCAGCAGAAGGCTGGTATTCCAGGTGAGCACTTTATGCCAGTCCGAGCAAGTCACAGTCTACTTACACCCTTGCCAGGTTCCCAAGGCTTCGGCGCAGCCACCTCCGCTGCCCCTGGTGGTATGATCCCTACGAATTGGTCTCAGCCCGCAGCCACAGCTAACCATGGCACAGCCCCCGGACAACCCGCCATTGGCATGCCGAGCCAGCAGTATGGCCGTTTCGGCCAGGAGGGCTCGCAAAAGCCCAACGACCCCTTTGCTCAGCAGGCCCAGCCGAACAGCCAGCCTCCATACGATTCGTTCCCCGGGCAGACGAGCCAAGCCCCTTCTCAGCAACAGCAGCAGCCGGGCGGCGCCTTCAGCTCTGCACCCAACGACTACTCTTCCTACTACACATCTAATGATCGTCACCCGTACAACAACAATTACTACGGCCACCCGTTTGCTCACCAGCAGCAGGGCGGACAAGGTCAGCAGGACAGCGCTCCGGGCCAGCAGCGCCCCTACGGCAGCTACGGCGCGTCTCAGCAAGGCGACAACCTGAGCCAGTACCCCCAGAGCGGTGTTGGAATCCAGAACCAGCCTCGCTTCGGCGCCGGCGGCAACGACGCCCAGAACAGCGGGCACTCGACCCCCAACCCCACGACCCAGGCCGCTCAGCAGCAGGGAAGCGCCGCCCCTGGAACCCAGCCCCCCTCGCACGCGCAGCAACAATACGGATACGGCAACCACCCTTACTACAACAACCCATACTACCAGCAGTACTACTCTGGATATGGCGGCCAGGGTGGCTTTGGCCCCTACGGCGGCGCTGGCAAGAATGCCATGTATGGTCAGCCTTACGGCATGTCTCCGAACGCGCCCTTCGACCATGCAAACTCCCCCGCCTCGTTCGCGCAGTCGTCGCTGCACAGGGACAGCGGAGCCGGTTCTGGCATTAGTGACTACGGCCGCTCTGGCTCGGGCCAAGCTGGAGGTGCTCCAGGTCTTGGAGGCGCCGGCAGCACCTTTGGCAGTGTCCACGACTCGTTCTCTCGCGGCTCCTCGTCCTTCCAGTCGCAAGCGCCCGGCTTTGGCGGTCAGGCCCAGCAGGGCAACGCTGCCCCTGGCGATGACCTGAAGTTCGGCGAGGCCAAGAGCGGTGCCAACCCGTCGCCTTCGATCGGCGGCGCTCGCCCTGGATCCGCTACCGCCAGCAACACCGCGGCCTCTGGCCAGAGCGGTCTGCCCCCTCCCCAGTCTTCGCAGATGAGCGGTGGCGCTTACGCTGGGTACCCTAGCCATCTCCAGGGCCATGCTGGTGTTCACGGCAGCCACGCTTATGGGATGGGTGGTGCCGGCGGTGCCAACCAGCACGCCAACAGCCCCTATGGCTCCTACGGCCAAGGCGGCTTTGGCAGCGGTGGCTACTACGGTGGCAACCAGCAGCAACAGCGCGGCGGCTGGGGTGGTAACTACCACTAAGCCGGTGCAAGTGCTTTAACAGCCAGATGACCTGCCAATGGCCGTCATCTGGCAATCTGGAGACTCGACAACGCAACAACGCGGGCCTACGGGCGAGTCTCTTGTGTATGAGTCTCTTTTTATCAACAACGGGAATTTTCTACTCTTTCTACGCCCTCGGAACGGGCCTTTACACGGGTCGATTGGCACAAGGGAACATGAAAAGCAGATGAATAACCACGGTTTCGCAAGGGCAAAGGAACGGGGACGGGCGTGCGACTTCTTGAAACGTTTATGCGGATTGCTTTTTGACACTCACGCGGGCCACAGAGCCCCCGGCTGGTGGTGTATACGAGAGAAAGTCATTGACGGCTGGATGACACCTTGCCGGCTGGGGGCGCCGATGACCCCACGACTTTGTATTGTGCGAACCTTTCCAGCTACACGGTACGGCGGCGATTCAGGGTGGTTTTTATGGGCGACCAAGGGAGATTGAGGAGCTCGTGGATAAGGGTTTCTAGACAGTCAATTGCAATTTGGAGAGCAAATCCTCTGCTTTGTGGACAAACCCCTTTCGTCTCGAATCATGCTTTTGTCGATGAGTGAGCCTTGCTGTCGCTGGAAGACGTTGATCATACCTACTTACTGACAGCTCTCGCGTCCTGTCGTGTGATTGATGGATGATTGAATGGATCAACAATGCCGCCTCCAGATGCCGTGATCCGCACCCGTTCCTGTGGACCATCCATGGACACTAGACTACCAATAACAAATGACCTCTGCCCGCAGATTTCAATCCCCATGCGCCTCTCGCTTGATTGTTCAGCCAGGACCGGTTGTCGGTTCGGTTTGTCTGTCCTGCAGTGTATTAGTTTTCTCTTCTTAAAGAGCTTCAGCCCCGTCTTCAAATCATCCTCGCAGGCTTGGAACTGAATGCGCTTCTCTGGTACGCGATCATGGCCGAATCTCAGACGAAGGCGGTGCCGACATCGGACGCCCATCAGCCACCACCAGAGCATGAGGCTACCCTAGAACGAAGCGGTGCCAACCACAATGATGGCGATGGCGATGAGGACATGTCGTACAAGGACGATGAGCAACCTCCTCTGCCCTTCTCCAAAGCCCGGTGTATAGCGCTGGTCGCAACCTTGACAGGTGCCTCGTTCCTCAACGTATGTGCGCCTCTTGTCGTGAGTCGAGCCGCAAACTAACGGAGGACTATAGACATTGTCGCTGCAGAGTGTAGTCATCATCTTGCCCACAATCGGCGACGAACTTTCCATCCCAGAGAGTAGACTGCAGTGGATCGTATCGTCGTATTCACTCGCCTTTGGTTGCTTCCTACTGCTCTGGGGGAGGATCGGGGATATCTACGGCAAGAGGTTGATCTTCATCGGCGGTTCGATATGGGTCGCGGCAGTGACGGCGGCCAACGCCTTTGTACCGAACGAGATTGCGTTTGATCTCTTCAGGGGTCTTCATGGCTTGGTAAGTGGGCGGTACCAGATGCTCTGTCAGGGGGAGCATCACCTTCAGGGACTACGTGGCTGATGGCGATGTGAATAGGGGGCAGCGGCCAACGTGCCCACGGCAATTGGCATTCTCGGCGTCACATTCCCGCCAGGACGAGCAAAGAACTATGCATTCAGCACATACAGTAAGTCAGCACACACACACACACATGGATCACAGGAACGCCCGCTGATGAGCATGTCTAGGCGCGGGTGCCCCCCTGGGGAGCGTATGCGGCAACCTTGTTTCGGGTCTCGTCGCCCAGTACGCCAACTGGCGCTGGGTCTTTGGCGTCTCGGCCATCATGGCGGGCCTCATCGCGGCCGCTGGCTTCTTCGTCATCCCGCCGCCTCCACCGACCGTGATGCAGCTCCGCGCGGGACGGAAGGCGTCCCTGGCATCAGTAGACTGGATTGGCGGCGCGATCATCACCACTGGCCTCCTTCTGCTGCTCTTCGCCCTGACAGAGGGTAACGTCGTCGGCTGGTCCGCGCCGTACATCCCCGTCCTCATCGTCGTGTCCGTCCTCATCATAGTGGGCTTCTACTTCTGGCAGCGTCACCTGGAGAGCAAGGGACAGCGCCCACCCGTGGTCAAGGTGTCCATGTTCAAGAACCGTCGCTTCACCGTCGTCTTGCTCATCATGGGCGTCTTCTTCGCCTCGTTCAACAACTATGTCATCTTCGCCACCTATTTCTTCCAGCAGTACCAGGGTCTATACCCGTTGCAGACGATGCTGCGATTCATCCCGACGGGTGTAGGCGGCGCCGTCGTCGCGTTCATCGTGGCCAAGCTGATGGACAAGGTGCCGACGGTGTTTATCATGCTGACAGGCACCATATCCATGTCGATTGCGTGCCTGCTCTTCTCCGTGCCCATCCCGCCAAGCACGTCCTACTTTGCCTGGGGTCTGCCAGCCATGTTGTTGGCGGTCATAGGTGCTGATACGACCTGGCCGTCCTTGACACTGTTCACGTCCAGGGCGTTGCCGCCGGAGGATCAAGCCATCGGTGGCGCGTTGATCAATGCCGTCGGTCAGCTTGGTCGAGCGATAGGACTGGCCATTGCCACGGCCGTGCAGACGGCTGTCATGGCGGACCAGAGAGGGACGAGCGTCGAGGATGTCGGCGGGTTGAAGGAGGGGGATGGCCCAACGCTCGTCGGCATCAGAGCTGCAAATTGGCTGAGCTTCGGACTGGGCATCGTGAGCCTGATTCTCGCCCCCTTTGCCTTTAGAAGCTTGGAGATTGTTGGCAGGGCGGTGCAGAAGCGCAGGCCGGAGGCTGGCGGAGGGGAGGAAGGCATTATGAACGAAGAAATCATCGAGACAGCCCAAGGCCTTGCCGAGAGCAAGCCGGCGGCTGCCAAGTGATTCATGCTCCGATGCAGCAATCAGTTCATAATATACGTAATTAGTTCCAGGTGTTCCGAATTAATGTGTTCTCTCATGTTGCCATCTATTGACTCATATATGTTGTTAGATTATTGCCTCCGGGGTATCATGCCTCGTATCTTCCCTACAAATGCACTAGTCTTCGACGTGCTTGGTACAGCACTCACGTCGAGAACGATCTCCTCGTCCTCGTAGTCCTCTTCTTCATCGCGGGCCATCCTCTTCAGCTGTTCCCAAACAACTGGATCCTGCTCTAACTCCTGCCATATCTCCAGGTCAAGCTCATCAGCGACAATGCCGTCATCGTCCTCTTGACTTTTCTCCCCCCACGGCGGCCAGCGTAAAAGACCGGAAACGCGCAGGTTTCTCTTCGCAACCTTGACAACGAGATCCATCAAGCCAAGGAAGCCGAGTACGATGAACAAGGTACCCCACCAAGTTGGATCCCGGCCAAACGTGTTTGTGAACGTGCCTCGAATGGCATATGGTCCGGAAGGCTTCGCGGCATAGACGCCGTCCAGAAACCCATTCCAGGCGAACCAGCCAATTGTCGTAACAAAGAAACAGCCCATGACAATGGATGTCTTGTAGTGCGTCTCGAATATGCTAAAAATGGTCAGCGTTTCAATGTGATACCAGGGCTGCGCAGCCACGTACAATAACTTCCAGTTGATCCACAGGACGCCAACAGTGAAGGCCAGATTTCCCAACGCGTAGAGGGTGTTATCACGACCGCTGGGCACGATCCACCCATAGCCTGCCCACACCGCGTACCAGCAAGCAACACCTTGGCAAGCGGCGTGGAACATCCAGCGCGTGTAATTTGCCAGGTTCAACCCCTTATTGCGCTGTCCATAAATGTAGAGCTCTGGAACAGCCAATAAAGTCTCAGCCTGCAAGTCTTGCTCCCAAATACCCATACATATTGTGGCTAGACTGGTGAACAAGGTATTGAAGACCGTCAGACTAGTAGCCTCGTAGAGCGATGTGCCAGTGTATCCTGTGTAGCGCTGATACTGTGCTGTTGGCAGATAGAAGAACATTTCCTTCCAAAAGGTGCATAGAATGAACTTGGCGGTCCGAACGTAATTCCATCGGCCATGAACAAGAAGCAGGCGCTGGAGGAAGCGGAACTGCGCAATCGAAAAGTCAGCCACACGCGCAGCCTGGAGGCCCTCCTTGCCTGAAATGCCAACGCCGACGTGACTGGCTGAGATCATGGCCAGATCATTAGCACCGTCGCCGATGGCAAGCGTCAGTCCTCGCTTCTGCTTGCTCTTGAGGGTCCGAAGACGACTGCGGACTGTCTTGACAAGCAGGGCCTTTTGCGCGGGTGATGCTCTGCAGCAGATGACCGAATCGACAAGGATCATCACTGCGTAGAACGCCTCCGAAAACTCCGTTGACCCCTCGATAGCCGCCAGTGTCGCGCCGTCAATGACCACGACGCTGTGGCCAGTGCTGGTCTGTATGTCCTCGCCCAGAGCAGCCAGTTGCTGGCCCAGACCTCCTTTCGCAACGTCAAGAATGTATACATCCGATCCAGGACGACAAAGTCTGGCAGAATGGGCAATGTTGATGGCAGTCTCCCGCTTGTCACCTGTCAACATCCATATCTTGATGTTGGCCCTGCGAAGACGGTCGATCGTCTCTGGGACACCTTTCTGCAGCTTGTCCTCAATGGCGGTGGCTCCGACAAGATCGAAACCCTGCTCAATCACGTCTCCTGCTTCCTCAATCCGTTCTTGACGGTCGACGAGACTGGTAGAAGCCTCATCCCACTGCTTCTTCCATACCCGATACTCTGCCTCTGTGATAAATCTTTGTGCGTAGAGCAAAGTTCGAAGGCCCTCAGTAGCAAATTCCTCGAGGTGCTGGAAGCACTTTGTAAAGACCTCGGACTCATCTAGAGGCGCTGAATCCTGCAGGAAATCGAAACGATTCGGTATGCCAAGCATCGTTGGCGTCGGTGCCGTCAGGAACTGGCCGTGGTGACTGCCGCGCCCATCGTGAGACACGGTCCTCGTTGTTATTGAAATCCGAGGTCGATCGCCAGAAGGACGCAGAAGCCCCTTCACTTCGAAAGACTTGCTCCTGTTGGGCTGTGGTCGCTGGTGATCCATGGAAACGCCAGGGTTTCGCCGAATGGCCAAGCTGTGCCGACCACCGAAGCTATTGCGAGGCACTTGGTGTTCGCTGCGGCGGTGCATTTCATGTTCAAGATCGGCACTCTTGCGCACCTCCGACGCCTTTTGCAAAGCAAGTGATGCCATCTTCAGCCGGGGCAGAATAGCAGAGTCTGCGCCCTTGCAGATGACCGCTATGCGTCCATCCGGATAGCGCACAACGATGGACATTCTTTTACGGGCACTGCTGAACTCGATGATATCCAGGATCTGGAAAGTCAACCTTTCGCCCTCGCCATTCTCTTCGTTGTTGATTGCCAATGTAATTGACTGTGTGGTGCGCTGGATGACCACGTACCCCAGTTCCCGAGCAGCTTTGACCAGTGCTAGCTCGTCAGGCGACGAGGCTTGGTAGTCGATCTTGCCATCGCGTTCTTCGGGCAAGCAAGTGTGACACAAGGCTAAGGCCATCAGATACTCCTTGGCCTTCTTAGTGAAAGAGGCATGGGGCCTGAGTCGGATATACTCAAGTAAATCGCTGGTATTGACCTCGGGCTGAACGTGGTCAGGCCTTCCCGTCGACCGCCAATGTGAAGACGATCGCCTTCCCATGGATGGCCTGCTGGGTGAGATCGGAATCTCGACTGGTTCACGTCGGTCATGAGGAACAACCAAAGTCACAGGCTCGGGCTTAAGGACTGAAGTGGCAGAGCTGGTTGTTTCCTCAGTTGACGCTGAGCCGCCAGTGTCGTCAGCGTCCAGATCCATCTCATGTAGCCATATAGTCCCTGCCACACTGATTTTACGGAACTTCATGACGTTGTCTGTCAAGGTCCCCGTTTTGTCGGAGAAGATGTACCCAATCTGGCCCAGATTCTCAAGAATGGTGTTCGTGTTGCAACGAGCCGGCGTATCCGATTCCTCGTCGTACATGCCCAGATCACCATTCAGCATCAGGAGCTGACCAATCTTGACGATTTCAAGAGTGATGTAGAGTGCGAGAGGTACCACGTTGTTGAACATGATAATGAACGCGATGATGATCTGATAGAAGGGAACTTTGGCGTGGTTCAGGTACCAGGCATATTGTTCGTAGTCCTTTTCCCATTCGACATAGCCCATGGACACGCCCACGGACAAGACCACGACATAGATAGCTAGTGTCACGACGATCTTGTTGTTGATTCGTTCGAGTTGTGGTCTCTTGGCTTTCGGGTGACGATTGGCGTTTTTGCGAATTTTGCATTCTTCTCCAGTGTTGATGACCAGACCAATAGCGGCGGGCGTGTTGCGTAAGATGCACCCGCGGTAGATGACCTCGTTCAAAGTGAGTGGTAGTGTCTTTCCTTGGACCGTAACTCGACCGTTGAAACTGTATAGGTCAGGGTTCGGGTCCTCGACCACAGATTCGGCACCGCAAGCGGCGAGGCCTGCAATGGTGCCGCAACCTTCTAAAGCGTGGCACACCTGCCTGCTTTTGAGGTTCGTCTCGCCGTCTAGGGCCATCGTCTCAACATAAGCCAGCCCGTTTTCTCCATCGCTGTGAAGTAAGATTATGTCCGCCGGAACAGGCTCATCTCGGCATAATCGTAATACATCTCCGACTTTAATGTCGCTCCATCGAGTTGGTACCCAGCGGTGGCCAGCAAACTCCTCATCAGGAGCTGGCCAGGGAGTGGCAGCCTTCTTTGTCCTGAAAGGATTCCACTTGTCCCAAGGGTATTGCTTGGCCGCTTTGCCAGTATGCAGGTCCTCTTTGCCCAGGACAGTTGCAAGATTCGCATTCTCCACCTTATCCAGGCGATAGCGGCGATAATCGTCAAATCCCTCCTTAATCATAGTGAGCAGCAGAAAGAACATCAACGGCAGGATAGTCGTGAAAGAACCGGTCGTGGAAAGACCAGGAATCTGTGTCCCTTGTCAGCGGAGCGATCGTGACTGAACCAATTGATAGATGAAGCATACAGTTTGTGGAATACCAACGCAGAGAAAGTAAAAGTTGCCAACTCTCGAAAACTGAAAGATGAATTGCTTGGGTAGGAAATCCCACACAGTGTAGCGTGAAGTTCGCACATCATTTGATATGTACGAATGACCCCGGCGGGTGTCGATGAGAGGTGTTCCATGATCCAAGGTCAAGGGGATATGCCGGCCGTCAGTCGACGCCTCAACATGCTTCCGTCGGAGGATGAGATCGACAATGGTCCTTTGGTACAGCCATGAGATTGCTGCGATGAGACCTTGGACAAATCGGTCACGGAGAACGAGAGTCTTGTTGTACATGCGCAGGTATCCGTGTCCGTCGTTTGCCGACCCGCTGGGCCGTTTCTCCCGACCCTGATCGAAACCTCCCATCTCTGCGCCCTCTTCACAGCGAATGAATCAACAAAGGCACATTCCAGCAAGTACAGTCGATGGAAAGAGCACTGGTAGCGATTGAATATCGTCAATGGTGCATGAGCAGAGGTTCCCCGTCATGTCAAGATCATGGCGTCAGATCGAGCGATTCGAACTTTAAGCTTGGCGGAAACGTTGTTCTCGTATCGTGGCGGGATCGCGGCGTGGCGGAGGGACGTCGCGCTCAGCAAGCGGAGGGTGCTAAAACAAGCGCATGTTTAAGCGAGTGGCAGGTCTGTCGATACGTTCGTTGCGACTGTCAAGTTGGCGGAGAGGAGAGGGACGCGACGACTTTGGACTCGGCAGGGGTGCTGCTGTAATAAGCCTGCATGCGGTTGACGACTTGACGTCGAGAAACTTGCGCCAGGCCCGTAGTGTGGAGTTGGCTCCACCCAGCGCTGGAGCAGGACTCAATGGCTCACATCGTCTCGGTGGTGCTTCTCAGATCATTCACAGTACCATCTGCATCGAGACCTGCCAGGGTTATTATAGAACATGTCTTCTATTCATCAACCACTACTTACTAACACATCAGCGATCCCACCCTATCTTACATCGGCTCTTGTGATATGTGGGATGCCACTGCCATCCTCGTAGCGGACCTGCCGGCTGCTAGGCGCTATCATCTGCACTGGCCCCTCTGCAGGGGATTGGAGTGGCAGTCGCCCCGACGCGTTCCTTCTTCTTTTCAATCGATGACGCCTGTGAAAGCCCACCTTATTAATTACCTGGTACCACGTATTAGTATAGGCGTCCCTTTGGAACTCAAGACCAACATGCGCACGACACGACACGAACATAAGACTGCCCATTAACCCGTAACGCCGGAAGAGGCCGCAGAAGCTTCCCCAGAAGCCCCCCATACAATTTTCCCTCCTAGAACCCATCGAACGTCAAACGCCAAATTGAAACACTTTTCGAATCTCATGCCTCGACAGTCCAGCCTCGAGGCATAGTTGCAGTTGCACGCGGCACCTCTGGGGGTCGAGGAACCCGCACCCAATTCCACCGCTACTATCGTCGACGTACCCCGACAGTGACCTTGAGCTCGTCATGATGATGACACCGCTCGCCTCGGCCCAGGCATCGACTTGTCGTCGGGCGGCTGTTGGCCACCACCCGCCACCAACACCAGCGAGCACTATGCCTTTGGCGCCCAGGTCAATGGCGGATTTGAAAAGCGAAGGTTCCAGCTCTTGGTAGCCGTACAGAATCTCAACCTTGGGCAGGCTCTTCTTGGCCGTGAGTTGGCTGCTGATGTCAAAGTGCCTGTGTCCGAGGGGTCGGGCAGGCGGGTAGAAGAAGATTGGCTTGGTGTTTTCAAAGACGCCAAGGTACCCCTGCTCGACGGCCATGAAGGCGTCGACTCTGTTGGCGTTGGTCTTGGAGGTGAAGCGAGCAGCGCCGATACGGTCATTCATGGCCAGCATGACCCCCCTGTCCCACGCATCATGGTTCGCAGCCAGACTCACAGCCGTCAGTAGGTTCATGGGACCATCCGCACTGATGGCCGTGGCCGGGCGCATAGCGCCGACAGCAACAACGGGCTTCCTGGATTGCAGTGTCAGGTCCATGAAGAAGGCCGTCTCTTCCAAGGTGTCGGTGCCATGCGTGAAGACTGCCCCCTGGGTGTACGGATCGTCAAGCTCTTGCTGGATCTGCTGGCTCATCCTGACGAGCATATTCGAGTTGATATTGTGGCTCCCCACGTTCGACACCTCCACGCCTCGCACATTGGCCACATTGCACAGCTCGGGCACCGCATCGATCAGATGTTGTACGCCGAGGGACCCAATCTGGTAATTGGACATGTCTTTGCCAGACGACCCTGTGCCCGCAATGGTACCGCCCGTGGCGAAGATGGTAACATTGGGGAGCTTAGAGTCAAAGCACCTGAATGCGGAGACGTCATGTGGACCCCTTGCCAGCTGTGTCGTGCCTTGCACGGCGACGAGCCACGCACAGATGACAACAAGGGTGGCGGATCCTATCAGCATGATGATGCGCGTCCCGTGGAGCATGCCGGGGCGCTGCGGTTGTTGTCGAGTCAATGTCGGACTTTGTCGATTTGTTGAGAGCCCCTTGACGTCTTTTCCAGACCGTCGAGGGTCCGTCGGTCCCTGCGCAATAGTTTCGGGCTCAATGCGAGCCCACAGGCGCTCGGGTCCGTATACGCGACCGAAATCTGGTGGCCCGGAGGCTAGAGACTCACGGTAATGCCATGGCATCCCTAAAGAACACGACCGTAACAAGAGGAGATGTAGAATAACGCTATCACCCTGTGCGAAGAAGCCAGTTCGGTGTTGTGGTGTCGGTACGCTTGCAATTCCTCCCTTGGTACGACGAGAACAGGCAGGCTGATCTGGGCTATTTAGCAAGCCGCTACTAACCCCACAGTCTGATCCAACCACTCCTTTGGTGCTAGCAAGCTCGTTACTTCACTTGAGGTGATATATAATCCGACCTTTGCCAGGAGGTCCGCTTCGGCTCCCGTGACACGACAGCGCTGCAATTATCCCTCCCCCTCCTCTGTCCTCCACTCGCACTGGCCGGGCCCCTCCATTGCGACGTCCAATGCCGGGCCACAGCCCACATGGGTCGGCTCCGGGAAACCCTCCAAGTCAAAGCGTCGCTCACCGACTCCCTCACCGGTTCCCGCAAGCAGGGCCATCCATGCGGACGTGCTGAGAAGTCTGAGATGCGGAAAATGTAGCGATGAATGGTGGCTTGTTTGAGTGACACGGAGCGAACGAGCCCCGAAAAGCCATGGACGGCGCTGGACGCATGCACCCGAGCATCGTACGTACTTGTACGTACGTGGCTGGCCTGGGCCACAGTAATATAGATCTATCGGAAAGCGTCTGTGGACAATGTTTCACCAATGTAGAAACTTCAACAGGACATGACGGATGCACAATGGCACCTCATGCACAGGAGAGTCATGGCCGTCTCTGATTCGTCTGACCTATCCGCTGGGTCGTGGCCATCGTAGCACGCACGACTAAAACGGCCGCTCTCGTTGCCTTTGCTCGATCGCTCCGCAGGACCGGAACGGAACAGCAGGGATTGCTTCGATCTGGAATCTGGATCATTGGCTGTGCTTAATTGCATCCGAAAGCCGAGAAGTGATGCTTAGTCACGCAAAAGGGGGGGGGGGGGGGAGGCTTGCGGCACACGCGCTGGAAGGAAGACACGGTAGAAGGAAAGAAGCAAGCAAATTGCGCTTATTTCATCGTCGTATTATTTGACAGAGTGATTACAGGATGGTGGCACAGCAGACTTACCGGAAGCTTGACAAATAAACAGCCATCCCCTTTCAGGCCTTAATGACTGGTTTCGTGACAAGGTACCCTACCTGGCTGGGCCTACCATATACGAGGGCAAGGAGAAGCAGGGAGGGAGGCGTGCGTCTTACCAGAGCATGGAGTCACACAAACCGCAGAGGTCCAAACACGCACAGACAGCACGCACACGGGACAAGTGAGTAAGATGAGATATCAAAACTCCATTGCCTGTTTGGTCCCTCCATGCCAACATTAACCACTTCTGCCGACGAGGCCGTATCACCGGCCTATTTCAGCAAAAGGGTGCCTCCAAACTCGTTGGGCTTGTGTTGTGCTCCCCGCGCCCAGCCCCCTTTTTGAGAAAGTCAATTTGTAGGGGATCTGCTGCCCCCTTCAAATTACTCGAAATTGCAGATAAACACCCCCTGTAATGCAACACCGGACGCTCAGGCTTCCGACGTGGACGGAGCGGCAGCGTCTAGACCCACTGGTGACCAAGATGCCGCAACGTAGCCGGCCGCTTCGTGCGAACTGTGGCACGGTTCTTGCAGCGCTTCTAGTTATGGATGCCAGGAACCCTGTCCACCCGAGCCCCTTGCGACACCCATTCCGGCTGGATGAGCTGGTCTCGCATGTTATACAGAAACTTGTAGGTCGTCTTGATCGTGCCGTCACTCACGCCACACTTGTCAGCAATGGCGCTGGATGGCTTTGGTTCGCCCACAGCATGGCAGGCCATGTAGATGCAGGCAGCGGCAATCGACAGTGGCGACCGGCCGCCAATCTGGACGCTGTTGTGGCTCTGTTCGGCAATCGACTTGGCAAGCTTCGCAATCAGGTTGGTCTGCTTAAAGCCCAGGCGGCTTGTGAATCGAGCACAGTACTCGCCAGCCGACGTGGTGCGACTCTCAAAGTTGGCCACATTGTCCAAGCCGACGCCCGTGCGTCCCTCGGCCTTGATCTTCTTGACAAACGCTGTGATCTTCTTGAACATTATTCCTGCATCCTTCTTCGGAACACCAGTCAACTCGAAAATTTCTTTGAACGAGCGCGTGGCCTTATTCTGACGGAAGGCGACTTGGATGGCACCAGCGACGAGAACCTCTTGCGGCTTGCCTTTGAAGCCCTTCTCCTTCTCGACGAGCTGAGGCATTGTGGTTAATATGGCTGCAGCAATGCAAGCTATGCCACATGGAAACTTACCTTGAAGACGTGCTTGGCCGCATTCTGGATGTTCGAGCCAGCATTGGCCACTTCACACAAGCTGACAATGAGGCGATACCCTTCCTCCAGGCTCTTCGACCCCTTGTCCTTGGAAGCGTTGTTCTGGTTGCGGGCAAGGGCCTTGTGGGCTTTGCTCTCGGAGAAGGCGACCGACGTCGAGAGCTGCTGTACGTCCGAGAACTCATCCATCGCCCCACCAACACGGCTCGGATCATCGCCATTCTGATCATCGTTCGCAAAAGTACGCCACTCAGACCTGGTATCGATGATACGACTACCAACGACGATGCCGCATTCGTTGCAGACCATATCTCCGCTGCTGTACTCCTCGACCAAGTCGGGCGGGAACGTCTTGCAGTCGGGACAGAGCAACTGGTTGCTCAGGTCCTCCTTGTAAGGACCGGTGTCCGCCGCAGCGGCTGCGGACAGCATCTTGGCCTGGTACGCCTTCGGTGTGTAGATGTTGTTGATTTCGTCGAAAACTTTACGGGCTCTCCTCGCCTCCTTAGCGCGCCTTCGAAGTTGAGTCTGCTTTTTCAGCAAAACTTTGCGTGCTTGCGTGTCTTTTGTACTTGTTCTCCTCAAGCGATTGTTGGCGGCCTGAACAAATAGTGGAGAATGCAGCTTCGCGGTTGACGGTGTAGTGAGAGGATGCCACTAGTCGGAGACGCACGGACAGGCGTCTCTTGTTCTTGTTTTTTGTCTTTGGACTCGGGCAGTCGAGCCAAGGGAGCAAAATGTCAAATTAGCTCGTGCGCGACAACGAGGTACGAAGATAGAAATGTCGTTCGATCGATGGGGAATGTGGTGTGGGTGAGCTGCAAAGTCTGCCTAGCCAACTGTTCGAAACCAGTCAAGGCGTCCGAGGTTGCGCGCAACGTCAGAGCAATCGAAAAATTGGCAGGCGTGGTCTATACGGTCGCGGGATGATGACGATCGACTTGAAAGAATGATTAGCGATGGTTGGACCGACTTTGACTGTTCGGGAGTGCGAGTAGATGATGATGTTCAAGTGAAGAATCGGTGGCCAAGGCAGAGGGTGCAGGGTAAACCTTAAGGTGAGCTGCCGTGGCTGCGACTCCGTTGGGGAAGGTTCTAGGCGCAGAGTCATGTGATTATACATCTGCGAGAACGTGCTAGCACACTTAAAATGTGGCCGAGGATACGAGAATCAATCACTGTCATCAGATGCCAAAGAGGCCATTGGCGATATTAAAAATCGACCATTGGACTATGTATTGAGGTTCCATTACTTGGGTCAATCTGTATCGAGGTCATGATAGTACGTAGTGTACTCCGCAGTAACGTCAACATGTCGGGCGCAATAAAGAGTGAAGAGAACAACGAAACTTCGCAGCTCCAAGGTCAATGCGCACGAATTTCGCCAGCGAGTCACTGTTGAACATCCCTTGCACACTCATTGCGCCTTGGCCACGCTCCTTCAACATTCATGTGGCAATAAAGTCGACGACAATATCTATCTTGGGTCACGGAGGATGACATTGAACTCGCAGGCTTTCCCGCGTCCCACCAAGTAGCTCGTATGGGCCGCTGTTAGCACACAGAAACACAATCCCAAGACCGTGGTTGAAAGCTTACTCATCAGAATGGCTTGCCAATTTTGGCATGGAGGCCACCCCACAAGAAGGTGGACGCAGAGGTTCCGTCAACGGAACTGGATGAATCAGAGCTTGAATACCCGAACGTGCTATTGAGGTATATCATCTTGCTCTTTGTTCAAAGCCTCCATGTAACTTGCATCTACAATTCATGTACACTTCCCAATCTGAGCTGCATCATACCGGCCCAGAAGTACCAATGGCTTCACAACAGGACCAGCTCCCCCCAGTGGACATCAAGCCTTTGCTGTCCAAGCTCTGGCCTATAGACGGTCGAGTTACAGCTGATGACATTGCCGATGCCATCTCACACTTTTTCACGAACCAGGTGACGGAGGCGCAGAGTGCGTCTCTGCTGATGGCGCTGCACTTCACGAGGCTCGACTTTGAACCCAAAGTCCTGGCAAGCTGTGCGGCTGCCATGCAGAAGGCGTGTGCTCAGGTGCCAGTAGATGAGCTGAAAAAAGTCATCGAGACAAGGGGGAGAAGGGAGGGCAACTACCATGGTGGACTCGTAAGTCAACGCCCCTTTGTTACACAAACAGGGGATCTTTTCTTTGCTGACGAGGGCAATTAGTGTGACATTGTTGGCACAGGCGGCGATAGCCACAACACCTTCAACATCAGCACAACAGCCTCCATCATTGCTTCATCCCTGCTCTTTGTGTCAAAGCACGGCAACAAGGCAAGCACGTCCAAGTCTGGCAGCGCCGATCTCGTCAACAAGATGCAGCCTCGCCCACCCGTGATCACAGCTGTCAAGCCCTCGACCATGGCGCGAGTGTACTCGGCCACCAACTACGCTTTTCTCTACGCGCCCGTCTTCCACACCGGTATGCGCTATGTGGCCCCCATCAGGAAGCAGCTCCCCTGGAGGACAATCTTCAACAACGTGGGACCTCTGTCCAACCCCGTCGAAGATGTCCTCGAAGCCCGCGTGATCGGTGTAGCGAGGAAGGACCTTGGTCCTGCATTCGCCGAGGCGCTGCGTATGGCTGGCTGTCAAAAGGCGCTCATTGTGTGCGGCGAAGAGGAGCTGGACGAGGTGAGCTGCGCAGGGAGGACACTGTGCTGGATGCTCCAGGAGAAGACACCGGGCGGCGAGATCGTGGTGGAGCATTTCACCATCCAGCCGAGTGACTTTGGTGTGAGCAATCACGCCCTGGACCAGGTTTCCTCCGGCAAAGAGCCAGAGGAGAATGCAGAGATTCTCCGTCGGATCTTGAACAACGAGCTTCCCGACAATGACCCACTCCTAGAGTTCGTGCTGATCAACGTGGCCGCACTGTTTGTTGCTTCAGGAATTTGTGAAACAGATTCGAGCAACATGGGTGAAGGCGATGATGGGAAAGTGATTCAGGAGCGTGGTCCCGCGGGCCAGCGCTGGAAGGAGGGCGTCAGGAGGGCCCGGTGGGCATTGAAGAGTGGCGAGGCATGGAAGCAGTGGACGTCCTTTGTGGATATTACGAATGAAATTGAGAGTGAGGGCTGATGTGTAGATACGGCAAGCAAGCAAATAAAATAAAAGAGGCTCGTGTGCTATCTATGTCCTGACCAACGCCGTGCTCTACTGGTAACCAGTCCCGCCAAAGCAATGCCAATGCTATATATCAGTACAATTATATCCAAGTCCTGCCGGGCACACCATCCTCTGATGTACCCACGCTACTGTATTCTTCTGGCACACTGTCGAATGTGGCAGATCGCTTCGCGGGCACTACCACGCCGAACGTCGCCCGCCTTGGCTGCGCGATACGCTGTACTCCGCGCGAGTCGACCGCCGGTGCCTTGCGAGGAGGTGGGACATGTTGCAATGTATGCCTGTTTTGTCGGTCATAGGGCGGTGGACTAGGATTTGCAACGGCTGGAGGCGGCATCACAACGACGCTATGTCCCAGAGACGAAGGGCCAGATGATGCACGGAAAGCGCCTCGCGGACCAGGCAAGCCTGTCCGAAGTTCGCTTGCATGCGTTTGTTTGAGCGCGGGATGATTCTCTAAAGACACAGCCCTGTCGCTTTGATGACCGGCCTCGAGCTCTTTGTATTCACTGATGAGACTGCAGGGTCTCGAGCCGTCATCCGAGTCCGAGTCTAAAAAATCCAATCTTGGACTCGATCTTGTGTCTTGGCGTAGTGTATGATTCGATGTCCGGCTGGCCAGGGACTTTCTGATCATTGTGATTCTTTGTAGTTCGTTTTCTTGCTCCAGTTTTTGCTCGGACGTGTTGTTTGACTTCCACTTAACAAGTTCGGTAGTTGAGGAACGAAGGCTGCTTCTTTGAGGTAGCGAGTGATATTGACGTTGTTTGTAGTGCTTGAACACGAGGAGTCCGACTATGACGAGGCAAAAGACAGAGACCACGGTGATCATAGCGATAATGCCCGCTTTCGTAGATGCATCGCCGTTTACGGGGAGCTTGCGTCGACCAAGTGATGGTGCCATTACGCGTGGTTGTGGCAAATTATGTTGGTGATAGAGCGGATTGACTTCTTGAATCAGACGTAGTCGTACCACTCGGTCGTGAGACAAGACACATTGAAATTCGCGGAGGCCGTGGTCCTACCTTAAGGGTCTCTTGAGAGTCACTTCTGGGATAGCAACACCGCTTGGTACGCATTACTATTCTTGGTGCCATTGGGTTTACAGGGGCATCCCGGATCGCGGGGAAGTCGTAGCTCAGTCGCTAGACAAAGTAAGGAATATTTTCGCACCTAAATGTACTGAGGGTGGTGTCGGTGCATCCTTGCAATAATGAGTAGTATAGGAGGCGGAGCCGAGCCTGCAGTGTGCAGCACGTCGGCGTTGCGAGGCACAGACCTACCGATTTCACCCTCAATAGAACCTGCAAATGCGACAATAGCAGCCGGCTCTCCGTACCGTGGATTCTTGCAGTTGCAGCTGCTCATGGGCAACGAAGGTCTTCAAGAAGCAACAGATGCGAGTGTTGACGACGCTGGGTGGTAAGCCGGCAGCATCACTCGGAATCGTCGACATTGGTCGCGTCTTAGACGCGACCAAGACATGGGTTTCCGGTGCGAACAAATTTCCCGCTTGGGCACATATGATTTACGGTGTCAATCCGCCGCACGAACGTCGTGCGACGATGAGAGTACGCACGCAATGCCACCTCAAGCTTTGTCGTTCATGCAGCACAACCTCGAAGTTGGGGTCCGAAGGCGAACCGTGCGTGGTATTGATGGCAGGCTCCAGTTGCAACCAACAGAGACAGATACCCAGCCCCGATTCTCGTCTTTCGTGCAGGTCGATGAGAATAAGTTTAGTAAATTATCTGATCGGAAGAGAGAAGACTGGAGTCAGGAGTGATCAGTGAATGGAGGTCAAAGACGGGTGGACCCGCCCCCGACCAGCAGCAGAATCCGGGGCCGAGGTCACGTGCCTATCCGGCTATTGACATCAACGCCTCGGTCTGGCGCTCCGATGCCGTCTCCGCATGTCCAAGATACAAATCAGTCTTCATCATGCTCAGGATGCCCGGATGGACGAGTCCTTGCAGGGCATGGCGGCCACGCTGCTTGCAGTTGCCTGCGTATGGCCGCCGGACATTCACGGCCACTACAGTGTCTCATCGTGAGGCGCCTCCACTACCGCTTGAAGGCTATCGTGTGCTGGACATGACCCGAGTACTTGCAGGGGTAAGCAGACATCCCCGAGATGGTGGGTGATTCGGCGCTGACAATGGTTCTACTCAGCCTTATTGCACGCAGATACTAGGCGATCTGGGGTGAGATAGCTCATGGACAATGTATCATCATGTTGCAAGTACTGACCATATGTAGAGCAGAGGTCATCAAGGTGGAGCACCCCGTGACCGGCGACGATACCAGAGCATGGGGGCCGCCATTTGCCAAGTACGAGACGGGGTCCAGCCAGGAAGGACCAGGCGAGTCGGCATATTTCTTGGGTGTAAGTTGGTCCTCATGTTGGGAGAGCGAGGCTGAGATGTGCAGGTGAATCGCAACAAGAAGTCTATTGGACTCAACTTCCAGCGGAAGGAAGGGGTCGAGATCCTCCACAAGCTGGCAGCCGAATGCGACATTCTCGTGGAGAATTACAAACCCAACGCTCTCAAGAAATACTCCATGGATTATGAGACCCTGCGCAAGATCAATCCCAGGCTCATATACACATCCATCACTGGCTACGGGCAGACGGGGCCATACTCGGAGCGCGCTGGCTACGATGTCATGGTCGAAGCGGAATTTGGACTGATGCACATTACAGGCGAGAGAGACGGACCGCCTGTCAAGGTCGGTGTGGCCGTCACAGACTTGACGACTGGGCTGTATGCCAGTAACAGCATCATGGCCGCGCTTCTGCAGAGGGGGCGCACTGGCAAAGGTCAGCATATCGACATGGCGCTCAGCGACTGCCAGACCGCGACACTGGCGAACATTGCTAGCAGCTGCCTTGTCACAGGCAAGAAGGACAGCGGGCGTTGGGGCACCGCACATCGCAAGTCCCTTCACCCCCAGTCGATTCGTCGCGCACCACTAACGTTTGGTAGCTTCCATCGTCCCATATCGAGCGTTCAAAACCAAGGATGGCGATATCCTCTTCGGCGGTGGCAACGACCGTCTTTTCCGCATCATGTGCGATGGCTTGGGCAAGCCAGAGTGGAAAGAAGCGCCAGCTTATCTCACCAATGCCGCTCGTGTCGCTAACCGCGTCGAGCTCGAACAAAAGATCGAGGCTATCACTGTGGAGAAGACCACGGACGAGTGGTTGCACGTCTTCGAAGGAAAGGGCATGCCTTACGCGCCGATCAACGATGTGCAGACGGCTCTCGAGCACAGTCACACCAAGGCGCGGAACATGGTCGTCGAGGTGCAGCACGATAGCTGTGGGCAGATGTCGTTGGTGAACACGCCGATAAAAATGTCGGGTTGCGCGCCAGGCGTTCGGACGCCGCCACCTAGTTTGGGACAGCACACCGATCAGGTCCTTGAGAATCTCGGCTTGAGTAAGGATGATATCGCTTCGTTGCGCCAGGGAAAGATAGTTCGATGAGCGCGACTGCAGGCCGAAGTGCATGTGGCAGCTGCGCCGCTGCAGAAGTCAATTGAATGGTTCGCGCCTTGGCTTGCTCGGCACGTGATCATCACGTGTTCTCATCAACATCATCTTTGAAGCATATCTGAACTTGAGAGTGAATGAACCATCATGAAATATGTCGTGCCCCATCCAGTCCGCTACCTCCCTGAACCCATCCAGCCCTACGATCGTCGCCATTCACTCATAGTGGGATAACCGAGATCGCCGTATCGCTCTGCGGCATGATCGATTCCTGAGCGCCCACGACGCGCTAGACGACAACATCATGGACTTCTCTCTCCCTTTAGGCAATGCGCCTAGTATTATGGTAGAAGATGACAGTTCGGTTCTCCAATCGACACTATCCGAGGAGATGCCCATTGCGCTAAGCGCTGGCCAACTACCTGGCGCGCCGGGCGCCTCCCAAGTGCCATCATACGACACGCAATTCTCCAGTACAACATCGCTTATCCTCGAGCGCATTAAAAACAAGAGCTTCAATGCTGGTCTTTCTGACGCCTCGAACAAGCTGTCAACGCCGGACAGGGAGGCTTTCGAGGATGCCAAGTCGAGGTTGATGCGAGATATGAACACCACTGTCACGCTTTCGACACCCGACCGAACGACACCGTCGCAGACACCACAGATACCGCCTTCCATCGAGACACTGAGTTTGAGAATGGAGCTCGAGAGAGCCAAGAATAAGGATGACCAGAATAAGAGGAAGAGAGAGGCAGCGAATGCGCAGAGAGGACCGGATTTCAGTACACAAGCATCAGTCGACCTACCGACAAGGCTAATCCCCAAGCCAAGGCGGCATCCTGCCACAGGCAAACCATTCGTGTCACTGGAAGACATTGATAGAAAGGAGAAGATTGAGCGCATTCGGAAAAAGAGGCTCGCCTCTTTGCCTGAGGGTGCCGCCCCGGCGAGACCTGACCTCGTCGGATTCGAAGCCGGGGGAGCATCAACGCATGCTGTAAGTGCCAGCCGCGATGATTTATATACGGTGGCTAACCAGATCCCAGCGGACGCAGTACTTCTCGCGCATGAAAAGCGACGACATTCTTTCCATTCTCTCTTTCTGCGATCGGCTTCGGCCTCAACTGCTGACCGATGTAATGGTCTCCATTTCCAAACAACACCCCGATCTACCCATGTTCAGCTCACCGACCTGGAGTGACGGGATTCCCGAGCCTCCTCCGCCGCCCATGAGCGCGGCGCAGCAGTTCCAGAAACGCGAACAAATCCGACCTCGAGCCGGGCCGAGCCTGCTGAACTCCAAAGCCAAGCAGAAGATCAAGGGGAGACCGGTACTGAAGAAACCACTCAAACGGTCGAGACTTTCAGAAGAAGTACCTGTCGCAGGAGCCGAGCCCGCAGTGGAAGAGGTGGAGGAGGATCCGTTGCCGCCGTCGTGGCCCAAGCCAGGGGAGGGTCTATATGCGAAACTGGCGTCTGAGCTAGAGGACAGGATCTTTCTCGTGGACGGCAACGATGAAGAGGTCTTTAGTCATTTTATGGTCGACAAGCTGGGGCGTCAGATCATTCCTGTGTAAGGACTTGAACCTGCGAGGCCGCGGCGGGTTTCTGTCTCGACACAAGTCGCCCATGCTTTGGGGGTAAGGCGAGACACTGGAAGGAAACAGTGGCGCAATGATCAGCGCCAACCCTCATACAATCTGTATAACCATCCGAATGCACAGTCGTTCTTGTGCATTGGTGTCTGTTGTCGTTTCTGGTCTCGTTGATCACGGTTCAGGGAGCAGGAACTGTATTGTATGTCTGTATATACTTAGCTCGCATATATGTTACTGGTGCCCTCTCAGTTATAACCAAGTACACGGTCTTAGACGCATGGAAGCTACCATGACTCTCCTTGAATGCGCTGTATACCCCAACAATAACCTTCCCCTGGTGCCATTTCACATGAGGGACATCTGTTGCTCCACGGCTCAGACTTGCCTTTATGTCATCAGCGTCGTCAGACCCGCGAAGAAAGGGGTTGACCGCCGGGGCGGAAAACACACAATCCTTCGTCCCTGGGTTCTTGCACGACTCAATAGTATCTGAGTGGTCATCACAGCCGGTAGAGTCCCTGTCCATGTAACACCAAGCTTCTTCTGCGACACTTGCCGCGTGTTCCTCACGGCGCAATCGATGTGGTGCCCTTGACTCTGCCACTCTCCATCTTGGCGGTTCTCGCCCCAAACTGGATCTGTTGACAAGGGTCAGCATGGACTTCCCACTTTACTCGGGAGCATTCGACGACTTACAGCTCGCTTCTTTTCAGTGGCCACTAAGGGGAGACCAAGTGTCTGTGCCAGTAGCCTCAAGACTCTTTTTTCCGCATCGGGGTGTCCTTCTCCTGCTGGCGTGCTAAAGTTACACTTTTCCCATGCTGGGAGCTCAATAGCCCACTTGACGAGTCTCTCATCCAGGAAAGGGAACCTGACTTCTTTTCCCCAGTGTGCCATCACCCTGTCATCGCGACCTAGATTGCGCTTACCCAAGCGGCTGACATCCAGTTTCAATTCCTCGATAAGACCGGGATAGCCATTGCGTTGAAAAGCTGTGCTGTGGCGCACGTAGCCGCCGAAAAGCTCGTCTGCGCCGAGGCCCGACAAGAGAACACGAGCTGAGGTTGTGTAAGGTGTCGAGGGCGATTCCATAGCAAGAGAAGCTTGTCCCTGACCTCTGGCGGCAAAATAGAGGGCATTGGCAATGGAGAGGTCCATTTCGCTACTGTGAGGATACATCAAGTGCACAATCTCAGCGCGGTGAGCTCTTGTCTCGGAGTATGGGACATTGACCTATGGTTGTCAGTGGCATCACTCAATCCGCGCAGGCGTCCATACCGCAACGAGCCTCCATTTCCTCCCGGGGCACGCAGCCTGCAGTTCAGCGAATGATTTCCTGGCAGTGATGCGGTCCGGACAGAGCTCATATAAGTCGTCGATCGAAAGGCCCTGATGCTGCGCGGCGATGCGCGGGTTTTCGAACGCGACGTTCAGCAAATCAATGGGCTGGTCGATTGGTACTATGTCAGCCGCCAGACGCGCAAGCACAGTGCAGTCTAGGCCACCCGAGAAGAGCACAGCGATTCTAGCATCAGCACTTTGGGCATAGGGCGGCAACAGAATGTTCAGGACACGCGCCTGCAGTGCTTCTCGCAACTGATGTCCTAGCTGCCAAACCGACGCGGAAGAAGGCATGAGTTGGGGAGGACTATCCGTGGTTTGGGTGTTGAAAACACCTATGCTTGAGACCTACAACCGTAAGTAGCAGAATATACACCGCTGCCGAACTGCGCCTAAGTACCTACCAAGTCATCGCCTTCGAGCCAAGCGTGGCGCTGGGGTTTGAAGACCTCGCCAGAATCTGACCGCTCTAGAGATATGCTATAGCAGCCGTCGGCTTCGACTTCTAGCCATCCCTCTGATGTGGACTCGGCTATGCTGGACAGCGTGATGCTAAGTCCGGTCTGGACTAGCAAGGAGCGCCGACCGAGTCGATCGCGGCCATAGTACAGGCGCTGAGCCGGTCTGTCGACGAACACGAACGCGAATGGGCCTTCAATGGTTCGCAGTGCCGCGAGGACCGGGTCTTCTTCAGAGAAGTCCGCGCCACGATCTGAGCGTGCCTTGACGAGAAGCTGAAACACCGCTTCAGTGTCACTGCCCGCGACCGGGAGCCCATCAATGCGCCACACCTCGCCGTTCCAGCAGAGAGAAGAGCCGCTTTTTGGATCGACCAGTGGCTGCCGCGCAACGTGATCACCTCGGAGAGAGAGGACTGTGGAGGTCAAGGTCACGGACGTGTCGCCAAGCTCGACGCGTGTTGTCCCGACATGGTCTGGTCCCCTTGCGCGCAGTTTCTCCTCAACTTCACGTGAAAGGACTGGGGTGTCTCGAGAGCCGATCACGGCATGAATGCCGCACATGGCTTGCTTTTGTGGGCGGTTGTTGGATTTGATGCTAAGAGAGGGCGTGTAGTGAAGCCTGAGCCACATCTGAAATTTGAGATGGAAGGCGCTCGCCATTGTGGCGTTAGCGCATTGGCACGACCAACAAACTTCGCCATCGCAACACGCCCAGCAACAAGTGCGTTTGGAAACTGGTCTTGGCCTGCAAAATTCGCTCAAATCGTGAACAGTTCAAGAAATCTCTGAGTGAGTATCCATATTCATTGATGGTGCCAAATGCGCCGCGCGCTCCATGCACTAACCAATTTTCAGCTCAGTGGCTGCTACCCATCCATTGCCCTTCCATTACCCCAAGGTAACCCTAAGAAATATGTGCCGTCATCATGTATCATCGAAAGCTATGTGTCTATGCGCTTGAGTAGCTCCAGTAAGAGCGAGAAAGAGAATGCCAAAAAGAACAAAAAGCCAAAAGACCAAACCAAACCCTTTGGGGTACCATAACTCCGTGCTGCCAACCGAGGCAGGTTATACAGGTAAGGTGTCGTAGACCAAGCCGTCACCATCTGCCCATGCTCAAGGTGGAAAACGCCGTACCAACTACCAAGGCGGTAGGCGAGACATGTGGCTCTATGGCCACGTGTATTCAGGCCCTTGACCAGCATCCATGCCAAAGTGACTGATGGGGGACACAAATGAAGGTGTCTGCGGCTGGCTGACACCAGAATTGGTGACATAATGCGTTGCACCAACAGAGACTCCGGAGTGGTCGAGGCCTCCGTTGTACCGACCAAGGGACAATGTAGGCAGGCCACTCTCCGTCATGGTCATATCGTAGATCGAATTGAGACTGAAAAAGGTCTGGGAAACGCCGGGAGTCGTGGGCGGCGTGCGAAGGTTAGGGTCACGGATTGCCAGCTCCGATACACCGGCCCCTCTGTCGAGGGTGTTGATGCCAGGCTGGTTGGCCAGCACGGGTGTATCGGGCGTTGGTGGCGCATGGCTCCCCCTGAGACCGGCGGGAACAGGAGATCGGCTGAGCATGTACGGACTGCGAGGTGCCCCCATGGACTTTGAGATGCGCATAGAGCCTGTGGCAGACGCTACGCGCCGCATCGTGTCGCCCTTGCGCATCATGTCCAGCCCAGCCCCTGGCGCGCCGGTCGAGCAGCTTCGACCATCAATGGCCAGGGGCGGGGGGCGGCGGTTGCGGCGTGCCGCGATATCGAAGGAGGCTGGTGACCTCAGCGAGAGATCATGCTCGGGAGACGACTGGGCCATTGGTGGGAACCCTGCGAGATTATCGGTGCTATAAGCGGTGAAGATCGATGGAGGGTTCCGGAAATCACCCCCGGTAACAACGTGAGAAAGCGGTTTGCCGTAGTAGTCCGTGTCTTCGTCGTCCGTCGACAGGGCAAACTCGGCGTCGTTGGACTCTGAAGGTGCGTTGGATGGGGATGTGCATGAACCATGGGCCGCGAAAGACCCGGCATTGGACGCATTGGAGCTCATCTGCGTCTGTGGGCCTCCCTCGTCCGACAGAGGAGAGTCACGGATCGCGCGCGAGGAAGACGACAGGCGCTGGGGAGGTCGCTGGGCGTTGGGGAACGGTGCACTCGACGCCACTAGCTTGCTTTTGCGGTCGGGTGCTTCGGTCATGTCGTCCTCGACTGCATTCTTCTGCTTCTCCAGCTTCTGGCGGGCTTCGTACTCGCGTATGTTCCTCTCCTTCTTCTCTCTTGCCCTGCGATTCTGAAACCAATTCTGCAGTATCTCAGCCCAATGTCCTGCTGGGTGTCGGGAGGTGCAAGCACCATACTTACGTTGATTCGCGCATTGTCCACCCTCATGGACTCTGCCAATGCCTTCTTGGTACTGCTGTTGGGCTTGTGGTTCTTCTGGAACTCAGCTTCGAGGGTTTCGACTTCTTCTTTGGAGAGGCGAGGCTTGGACTCTGTAGTCCGTGACATTTGATGGTGATGGACCAGGTGGTGGTGATGAGCCTGGTACGCATCCATCGAGTCCGAGAGGTATGATGAGTAGTGAGGGTATTGTGTGTATCCTGTTGTAAAACCTCCGTTGCTGACCTCGTTTGTGTAGGCCCAGGTCGGCCAGGGGGGTTGTGTAAAAGAGCTCATGGTGTGAGAAGTCCTAGTGGTAGTGTAACTAGCGTCGTTGTCGCGATGTAATGGTCAAGTAATTTGTTCGAAATGCCGATATATATGTGCGAGCTTGTTGATTAGGTGCGGCCAGATGTAGAGAGCGGTAATAGTCGTGAAACGAGTGACTTTGGGTGGGTTTGGTCGACAAAGGGCTGCAGAAGCGCAGTAGAATAGTTCAGGACCGTGGAAGCTCCTCATCCGAGAGCAGCAGCTCTGCGCCTTTAAACAGGCTACGTATCGCAATCCTTCCTAGATGCCCAGGGAGTATGATAGCTAGGGTTGGTTGGTTGGCTTCAGGGCGGTCGTGTAACACGGAGAGGACGTGGGTGCGCTATCGACAGGGCGAGACAATGCTCACTCAAGCTCTACTCTGTCGGAATGACGTTGCCAAAGGGTGAGTCTTTGGCTTTGCAGTTGAAGAAAAGTGCAGAAGAGGGAGAAGGGAGCGCAGGAAGCTGATCGAGGTGGGCCGGGGCGAGCGAGGGTAGATGAAGGAAAGACACAAAGGAGAGCGTTACCTGTTGTACCTAGCCTCTGTATGAATGAACCCTGTCTACCCCGGCATTGATGTCGACAATTGACCCGCCTAGCTGGCGCTGCGGCCCTGCTCGTCCAGAATGACTTTGCTGCGCGAGAGGACTGGAGCCTCCAGTCGATGTCGCTCGCCGGCCCAGGCCGCGGGTTCCAGTCCTCATCGCGTTTTTGCTAGCAGTACCCCTTGGACTGGAGGGGGTGCAGTCTCGCACCACTCGAGCCACCTTTTTCCAGGCGCACCCAGAGCAGCAAGGGTGACCGCTGGATGTGGCCGTAGATCGCAGAGATTGATAATTGGGGTTTGGCATGATGGCATCGCGCGCTGCCGTGATGAAGAATTGTGATCTAGGCTGGGCCTTGGGTCGGGAGAAACCACACTTGACGAACGGAACCAATGCTACAAAGGAGGACGGGATTCGAGAGCACAAACTCGGTGGCATATCGCGATCCATCCAGATGGTCAGTTGTTGGACTGTCCACGACAAGGCTCCTGCTGGTGGGACAGCTCGGTTGACGCCGTGTGGTTGGTTCAGTGTCATGTCGCCAAGTGCTAGGCAAGGGATGGTGAATCCAGTGGGTTTGGGTCCGTTATTGCCTCACATCTCCAACCCGATATCACGACGAAGTTGAGCATCGTGAGATGCTTCTCGCCCTACTGTAATTAGAATTGTCTCTGCCTAGCCGCGCGCGCTGTCGACGGGCAAATGCATGGATCTGGAATGGCCAGTCGATATCAAAGTAGGTGTCCACGAGCCCCCTCGTGCTGGATACCTTACCTGGACTGCGATGCCCTTAGACCTCCTACTACGTACTCACCCCTTGATCCGGTGGACTGACGGTGAGGGGGTGGAGGACGGGCAGACTGGAGCTTGTTGGAGGCAGGTGTGGCGGAAACGTCCAGCGCGACAACAACTATCCCTAAGGGGGGAGGGCAGGGCATCGCAGCGCCTCGAGTCTGTCTGGACTTGGCTTTTTACCGCAGCTACAAGCATGGCAGCAGCTGTTCTCACGCTGGCACTGGGGTTTGCTGCAAAACTGAAGGCCTGGGCGAACCAGTCCTGTCCTTGTGGAACCGCGGCCGCCGAAGGGGGCTTGGCCCAAGTCCAGTCGAAAGGGCGCTGAGCGGAGCAGCCTAGGCCCGGGGCTGACCCCTGTCAGTGCTACCCTGTTTTCGCTCCAGCCCAGTCTCTGGTCGCGTTTTTCTGTCCGCATGGCATGCCACCTCTGCCGAACACAGAGATCGAGGCAATTACTATTACAAGTTGGGGCAGCGGCACGTTAACTGGCGCCAGCGACTGGAGTGTTGAAGACCCATTGCATCCCACCAGGCGTTGTAGAAGTGGATGTTCCAGACGATTACTCGGCGACGCCAGCATGACAAATTTTTGGTAATGTGAGCGTCAATTTCATGTTCCAGGCACCAACATATAATAACGACGTGTTGTCGAGGGCAGCATAAGACATGGGGACAAAAAACGACATGTGGCTGCAGACTCGCTTCTGCAGACTGCAGTGCGCTTCTCCATGTCACCCACCCTCCAGTCGGCTGCTCCTCCGGTCAGATTGATGCGTCGCTGGGTTCCCAAATAGGACGAGATGGTTGGAGCTGCAAAATGGAGCCTGCGAGTCGTCAACGCGTACCGAGAACCATAGCTTCGGGGTCGTTCGGGCATGGATTCAGTTGTGAGCACTTCTCGTAAGCTATCAGCGATCTACTAGGAGGCTGCTCCGACTGGAGTCGTGTGCCGCTTCGAAAGGGCGACGTGTGTCCACTTGCTGGTATTCAGAGCCTATACGTCCGCCCTGGTTGATAGGATTCATGGCAAGGGACTGACTGGGATGGTGTCACTGGACGGACGCTGTCGTCGAATATGACATGGACAAGATACGTACCTCCTTTTGGATGGTGGAAGGTGTAACACTGTAACTCCTTCCTGTAGTAGTGGTGGGGTCGCACGGAAGGAGCCCTTTTTTAAGAGCAGTGCATGATTGAGATGGCTCCACCTGCAGAAGCTCTTCAGGCTCACCACAACCACCGTCCAACACCAAGCCGACCTGCGTCAACCACCGGTCCTATCATCATGCCCCAATCGCCTTTGCTATTCGCCTGGACAAGTCAGTCAGTCAAGCCGTGAGATGATTCCCCCTACACTGCATGAGCATGGACACACCTTGCAGCCGCAACTTCATGTGCATCCCTTGCCCTCTCATCAGGCAATGTCCCTTCACTATGGCCCTTCGATAGCCAGTCTGCCCTTTTTCGGCTCTCGTGGATATATACGAGTCAATCCTCCGATGTTTGGAATTTGACACGAGTAGGTATTACCGCATGCTGTACTCTGTACACCAGTCATTTCCGCGCACACACAAGCCAGCTGCGGGACAGAGTCAGGAAGATATTCACGGCAACGGAATCACCTGCTTACAGGCGGGTGGTCCCACCCCCACCGCTACCCAAGGCCCGGAACTCCACCTGAGAGGAATTGGACGAGTGCAACTGCAAACGAAGACTGGAAGTCAGCCTCTCTTGTCCCCTAGGTCTTGCAGGCTCCATGTCATGTGTCCATGTCACTCACGAAGTCGACTGCGAGAAGACTACTAGGCTGGGTTGTGGACTAACAAACCCAATCGATGCCACCTTCGACCTTGCCAGTGCAGAGAGCGTGGCAGCTGGAGTCGCGGTGCGAATGGCGGCTCCAGCCACAAGGGTTCGCTCTGATAGGCTGGGCCACGTAGCTCGATCGACCCACTGAGAGAAGCTAAACAAACTGAGATTCTAGGCCTCGACCACCTGCCTCATCTGCCTGCGGACAGCTCATTAATCAGTGTCTCTACAGACCTTTCTGTCCACCAGCGAGCCTTTTAGCAGAGCTGCCGGCGCGTCCTGAACCTATTCGCGAGAGAAGAATGAAAAGGTGTCGCAGTTGGGCTAGTCGGCACGGCCGTAATTACTAGACTACCATCCCGTCCAGCGAGTATTGGAGTAAGCACCAGACGGGTTTTTCGCGCAGGCTACGCGTCAGAGAGGTATGGGAACACAGCTCTCCCACAATGACGCTTCATTGACGTACCCTCGACTGACCTGTTGGAGACGATCACGAATCACCAGTGCCGAATATCTTCGCACACGTAGCTTGTTGGAGGCCAGGCAGGACTGGATCCTACGCTACTCCACGTGCTCGGGTGCTTAGCCGGCTGGCCGCCCCACTTACGGAGGCGGCCGTCGGGTCGCCGGCTCTGCGCAGGGAAAGAAAGAAACTGTAATTGTCATTTATAAGGCTGCGGGTCACTGTCGCCCTAAAGAGGCTACGGAGATATAATAACGGTCTGGGCCTTCCTCGAGGCAGGCCACTGGATCGCGCGCGATCGTCAGAAGCTGTGCGACAACAACCAAATCCAGTGTTCATCGTACCGGCAATTTCATTGACTACAAATTTAGACAACGCGCAAAGCTTCGTCGACCGACTGCAATGTTTCTGGACAGGGGGTGGCTGGGGTCGAAGCGTCGTTTTTTGTTGGAACAGCATCCACCAGAGTGCAGCTTGACATTCATGCTTCCGAGCGTCGGTGACATACTTGAGTTACCAGGCCAAGCTACGTCAACGATGCTCTTGATGATGGTAAATAGCTCGTCGGCTGTTGATCGTCAGTCATCACTCATCAGTCGCCCAATCCTGACATGGATGACCCCGATTGCTGGGTCTGGGGTTTGCTGTTGAACCGATGGGGCAATGCCGAGTGAAGATCTGTCGATCTCCTCGCAAGCGGACTAATTGGAGCTGGACAAATCACGAATGAGGCACAGTTGTGGCTAGAACGAGCCCTGCCGGTACATGACCAATATTACGAGCCATTACCAGACCTCTCACGCTTACGCCTCGGTATTGCAGCCCGCCGTCGAGGAGTGCCGCGAATTCGCTACATTGGTAACAAGCTTTCCGTATAGCCCCAGTGGCATTCCAACGACGTTGAACCACCTCCTGCTTCCCCTTTCCAACCAGCGGACACCCACGAGTTGTCTTAGCTCGCAACGTGTTGTCTCGTCTCCAAGTGAAACCACTGTTGGCGCTTATCACAGAAGGGGAAAACAAGAGGTGCGCAAGAGCCAATCAGTGTTAGGACGCGCGCGCTTTCGTCGCTGTGTGATGGGTGACGGCTCTCCCAAGCGGCAAATGCAGTTAGTAGTCAGTAATAGGCCGAAGCGATTGTTGCCACGCGAGTCACACGGGCCAACAAGTGTCGACTGGAGCGGTACTGTACATATGTAGTAGTAGACTGGTTCCTTGGCGGCGGAAAGGGCGTCCATTGGCTCTGCTGTCATCAGCATTGTGTCTCTCCAAAGAGATTCATCCGTCACCAGCAGACTGCAGTCGGCGGCGGCAAAGCTGCCAAGTGCTTTGCATCTCGTTTGGGCATATGCTCCGCGCCACGATGGCTCCCCAATCTCAACATTGCACGTTGTGTTGAATTTGTCATGATCACACTCCAAGGTGCTGCATGTAATTAGTTATTATTTCGTACTGTTTGGCAATGTGCGGGCCATTAAGACAGCTGTGATGTGAGATGAGGTTCGATCATTTTCGGCTGACGGCACCCCCCCATTACGCAAAGGCTTGCCTTGCTAGCTGCTCCGAAGAATTTCGTTGCCTGCTTACTTACTTCTTACAGTACTTATTATTACTTTATGCATCGCGGCCGACAAGCCTACTGTCTAGCTAGAACGTTTCGGTGACGTAGGCCAATGTGCTGGGTCAAAAATCAACGCTTCATAGTCACTACAGAAACGTGGTGATGGAGTGCCGGCAAAGTTACGTACGTGTTAGATGGCACGTTGGAGGTGCTTTGCGGCCATCCCGGATACCTGGGTCGACTGGAATGATCCGAATGGTCCCCCAGTAGATCCGCAGGGTTCAAATAAATGATGGGTGATCAACAAGCTGATCAGGAGGCCTTAGCTACAGGAACCCTTGGGACCATGCCCGCTAGTAGCTTTGCTAGCCTGACAGGGCGGCTTCAGAGACTTTTTCCCTCTGCACAGATGACAGGACTAATCATCTGGGCGTAAGCGGCTCAATTCGACTGGACTTTCGAGGCTTCTCACATAGCGAAAGCGCAGCTAATTGGAGCTGATTGTAGAACTGATGATAGAGCTGGAATCAATGCACTAACTGAAGAATGTAAAAGTGACAGCGGGGACGGACTGGAGTTCTAGTTGGTCCATCCATGTCCATGTCCACTGTACCAGACTGGGCTGGTCCACGGTAATCACCTGGTGGCGGCCGCTGCCCGCTGGAGCCTGGACGCTGTAGTGGTTCAGTTCGGCCTGGCAGTTCAACTGGCAGCAGCCAGGCCAGCGACAAGCCAGAAACAGGGGCGGAGTTGTTAGTGGCATCTCGGGCCCGGACGGCCACGTGTGATGAGCACCAGGAAATGATCCGATTCCGACTGGAGCACGCACTACGCAGCACGCTGGGGCCCTACGCTAAGGTACGCTGGGCTGGCGTGCGGCGTGCCTCCAGTCTACAGTACCAACTTTGTGCCGACAGGGCATGCAGATCACGCCCAATCGCAACAGTCGTAGCAATCGCACTTTAGCGGGCGGCGGCAGGGGCTGGGGCTGAGGGGCACGCCCCCCCCCCCCCCTACGCTGGCTGCAGCGATCCCACCCATTTGATCTTCCTGTTCTGTGTTCAGCTGCGCCGACATGACCACTTTGGTCGAAAGGTTCACAAGTCAAACACATTGTCTGCTGCGGCGTCTCCGGGGCGCAACCCTTTCTGACCCTGTGGCTGCATCTGCCATGCGAGGGTTCAGCCTTGGCCAAGGGGTCAAGTCTGGATCACACCGGAATGCAACGGCATCTTGTTCTGGACCGCGTGAGCTTGACGTACAGCGAGGCCGGCTTTGAAGAGGCCACAATGGGGTGAGTGGTCTACGATGGCCCATGTGCTCAGACAATCGGCCTGGCTGCAACAAATGTTTCCTGCAGTAGGTCAAAGCTCTGGACCTGTTGATGGAGAGTCTGCGCGGCTGCTTTATTAGCGCCATCGGCCACGCCTTTCGCAGGTGGGTGAATACGTAACGCCGCAAGACCTACAGTGGACGGCGCTGGATGATCTGGGTTCATGGCCCAGGATTCAGTGCTCTTCTAATCGACACATGCGTCTACAAGGATGGCCATGATACTTCCCAGTTCCCACGAGGTATGCTTGTCAACTGATAGTCTGACACTGCCGCGGACCGAGAACTTAGAAGGCGGTATATCGCTCGATGTGCCACAACCACATGGGGCACCAAACAACTGCAAAGCTCAAGCCTCCACTGCTATTCGTAGCTTCTTGCATGACAACGACCGGATTTCTGCTGCCACGGAGATGAGATATGCACGCGAGATCAAAACCAGTCAACGTGCGTAGTCCTTTGTGGTGCCCCTTGGGCATGCATGGAGTGAGTGTATCGTACGTTCACCAACGCTTTCAAGCAAAGCTGCTGAGGATATGAAGCAAGCCTACTGGAGCAGATGTTACATATCATCATCTGCGAGGATCTTGTCGGGAAAAGAGAGGACTAGAGATGCAGGCCAAGAGGCACTTGGACATGCAGCGACGGTGACTCTTACAACGTCCTAGCGTCTGTGATCTCGATGTTCTCTGGCCCGGTGGCTTTATACCATCGAGCAGGCGTTCATACGAGGGACGGTGAACGGGACCTTGCAGTTGTGCTTCTACGAGTCGCAGCCGTCATTGGTGCTACCAATCCTTGCGTCGTTACCGCCCGGTTGACGGATTGTTACTGTTGCAGCAATTGGAGCATGTCGCGTCACAGCATTACGTACATGTCGTACGTATACTCTACGGTATTGTGCAAGATGCTCTGCGGGATACCGCAGCGGCCGGACCAGTCTTCCCACAAGATGAACGACGGATGGCCTTTGGTGATACCAGCAATATTAATAGTACTAGTAGTGAACAACAGGTCCAAAGTGTACTAATGCACGCACTCGAGCTGTGTGACGACCCTAGGTCCGGCTGAGTGAGGCTGATGTCTTGCTCGTTGTTGCAGATCCTCATTACAAGAATAGACTCATTTGAGTAAAGGGATTATTAGCAGGCCTCCCTCAACACCATGCCCTTCCCTCAGTCTCATATAAATCACCCTCTAGGTTCTTTCTCTTGGAATGCTTCTTTACTTCTATCGATTATGTCTCGCCAGTTTCGCCGCATTTCGGAACCCTCTCTGATGCAGAATACGTATCCATTCGGCCTCTTTCACCGGTGTGCCTCAGCACCTCACGGCGTTTGAAATCTCAATGGTGACTTTCCCTCCCTCGACACCAACGACCTTGACGCTCTCCAGGTCCTTCACGATCCAATCTGGCCCCGCAGCGGCGACCTGATCGGCTGTGTGGCTCGTTACCAGGCCTATCACTTTGCATCCTGCCGCCTTGCCCGCTTTGATACCCGCGGGCGCATCTTCCAAGACCAGGATGTCCTTCCCTTCGTCTTGCAGGCCCAGCTTCTTCCTCCCAAGGAGGTAGCACTCGGGATCAGGTTTTCCCACGGGGACGTCCTCTGCCGTCACAATGTGCTCCGGTATCGCGAGAGATAGCACGCTCAGCCAGCCAGTCACGAGAGGTCGTGTGCCCGAGGTGACAATCGTCCAGGGAAAAGCGAGTGAAATGAGTTTGTCAATGAGGGTGCGGGCGCCGGGGATTTCGGTAGCAGAGGAGGCATGCTCTCTCGGCAGACGACCTTCCATCTCTTTGACATCTTGCCGTCTGTGTTAGAAATCACTTGGACAACCAGACCGGTTGAAGGGCTGAGGCATGTTACTCACATTCCCAATTGGCTTTCTCCGGCGCGAGGATCTTAAGCACATCGATGCTACGACGGCCGTGGGACGTTGCCAGGATGGTGGCAGGGTCTACGCCGATATCACCCCCGAGGCTGGATTGGGGTCAATGAGACGTTCATGACATGTCTCTGAGAGGCAATTGGACTTACTTCTCCCAGTGTTTGACGATAGCCGGTGTCGAATCAATGATTGTGCCGTCCATGTCGAATAGAAACCCGTCAAAGGAGGCCCTGACGGGCTCCGACGTAAAGTCGAGTTGTGAACCCATGGTCTGTTGTGTTGATGCACCCCTGAGATGACTGAAGTGACGGTGATGGCAGGTTTGCAACCAATGTGTCGCAAGCAATGGGTGCTACGGCGTGGATGAAAGAAGTAGTAGTATTTTTGCTTTGTTGTATTTGAGGTGTATCGACGTCGTTGTACCCCGGAAGTGTTGGTTGCGTGTGGTGTGAACATTTATTGATCGTGAGAAAGTGTTGACGATGCTCCGAAAGTCGCTCTGCCTGGCCATACTGCACCTGGAAGTTCCGCCTTTCCTGGCTCGGGGTTTCCGCATGGGGCAGGACTAGGTATCGAAGCGGCAGCGATTCGGATCCCAGAAAGGCACAATAGTAGCCCGAAAAGGTCCTTTGAATGTCTTCGACTGGTTAATAGAAGCATTCAAAGCTATCTCAAGCCTTGAAGCTCTAGGCATCGATGATCAAAGTTGAGGGCTTCGTGTAGGGTACCTTAAGCAGCTTTGGTGTGAGGCATTGCACTTCCCAACGCGGTACACGCCGTGACGTCGCTGGCAGCGGCAGCACGCGTCTTTTTAGCGGCTCATCGCGTTGACGGTTGGCTGTCGATCCCCACCTTTAAGTCACCACGCCCTGTCCTGCTGCTCTTGATTACCATCATATCTTACAGCGGATGCAGTATTTCCGCTTGGAGTTGTATCAATTGTTCCTCTGGCATCCTATATTCCTTGCTCTATATCTATCCTCATGGGCAGCTCATGATTGCGGCTACATGTCCGACACCGTCTTGCCAGGCGCAGACGCGTCGCGTCCGCGCTCTCGCTCTGGCATCCTGACGCCCACATCTGATGGCAGCACCGCCCGAGATGGGAAGCCCATGGCTTCTCCCGATAGCAGGAAGCGGAAAAGATCAGATTCCATGACTATGGACCACCTGCTCAAGTCTGCAATTAGCCTCAAGGTAACGCTGTGCGACTTGATTGTCTCTCCCACCTACTGACCCTGTGACCAGGTACATCCGCCGAATCTACAGATTCAACCTCGAACACTCCTACCCTTGATGCTGCTTCCTCGGAAACACCTGTCCCTGGCCTCTCTGGACCTCTCATGTCCACAGGAGGGCCTTCACGCAAGCCGTTTCTACGCCTCTCATGTCAAAATCCTCGATCTCGAAAGCCGGATGGGCTCAAGCCCTAGCGTACTGATTGTGCGTAACGAATCGCGCGGGCGGCTTTATGCTCTGGAGAGGACTACCGAAGGACTTTACACGGCATGCAAGCTGGGCTCATGGGTTGATATACAGGCTTTATTGGCCCACGCCACGGTAGTCTGCAGGGAACGATGCCAGCCTCCAACACAGCAAGCCCAGTGCTCCGATGGCCCGGGCGACATGGCCATCCCCGCCAAGTCGAAGGCAGACATCAAGGTCGACTTGGGGAAGAGGGCTGCCATTGAGTCTCTTACGCGGAAGAATGCCCGGTCACACTCCATCTCGACAATTGATACCAAAGAGCGATCCGATACCGCTGGCTTGCCTGGCTCTGACGAAGTGCAATCATCAGAGGGCGAATCACCACGGCCGCAAATCTCATCGGTCCCTGCTGCACCTTTGTTGCCGAAGCCATCGTTGGTGGAGCAGCAGCCGAAGCAGCAGCCTCAGAAGCAGCAAAAGGAGAACCAGCAGACAGCAGAAAGTCTGTGTGATAACATCCGAACTCATTACTTGGAGGCATTGTACCTCTCCAAGGTTTGTCTATCTGCAACAGAGCCTCCATCGTTCACTGACACCTGTGCAGGGCTCGCTTGCGTATTTTGCAAAAGGACCATTGTCTCGTGCTCGTGCCGCTTTCCATTTGAATCTCGAGTCGACCTTGGATATAAACGATCTAATCGAGTTTTTGAAGAGTCTTATCTTAACTACCGTGCAGGTAGACAAGAAGTTCCGCGAAACCATTCCCGCGATGCTTGCAAAGACCAAGACATTTGTGGATAGCTCAGATGAGGGACGCAAAAAGCGGCGGAAGTCGAAGAAAATGAAGGTTGGCAAGGATGGCCTCTATCCGATGGAGGTCGAGATCTTACATCGTTGGTGGACAGAGAACCAGCCAGCGCTGGCTGAGGACTCGGAGGCAGGAGTCTCGCTCGCCCAAATCAAGGATCGCGTCGACCTGCTCCGGACGAGGGAAACTCAGCTGCAAATGATTGTCATCATGGAGACTATGGCCTTGGAGCAGGCAGCCCAGACTCACTCGGCCTCCCTGCCTGAGCTGACGGAATCTCAACATACAGCGACCCCTCCATCGACCAAGAAGCGCAGCAAGCATAACCTTCCCATGCTCGTCGATGTTCACGCCGATCGATTGACTATCTGGCAATCCATGGCATCGGACGCCCATATCCTCCTGCAGGACACGCAGGCCACAGAGGAAGCTTTAGCGACTACCCAGCAGAAGGCGTCATCAGAGCCGCTACGAGACTTTTGTGTCGATGTCATCGTGCCTTTGTAAGTTTGATTGAGCCACCCTCGTGCCAAGGGATTGTGTTAACGCAAAGTCAGCTACGCTTCACGTTTGCCACAGCTGTGTCACTCTCTAAGTCAAAAGTTTGGCGGGCCTGTTATTATCCCCCCTACTAAGAGGGCGAAGCCCTCCCGGTCATCTAGCAAACAGGACCTGAGGCCCGGGGCATCCCTGAAACGCCCGGCACCCGCCAAAGAGCCAAGGTCATTGAAACGTGCTCTGTCGATGGATCAGCAGCATCGCCGCAGCCTTTCGGGGGGGCAGAATGCGCTCGCAGAACTAATGCGCACAACTACAACTACAACTGCCTTGCCTAGTATCAAGCGCGAGGCCAGCGACTCCAATGTTTTGAAGAGCATGGTCAATGAGGCCCGAACTACCTCGCAAGGCCTGAGGCCTCTTTCTCGGAGCTCAAGCAGCATGACGCTGGATGACCCAAGAGCGAACAAGAAGGCAAAGATTGATGCCGAACTGCGGGAGGCTATTACAGCTTTGCGCAAACCCAACCGAGAAGTCGTTGGAAAGGCGTTGGCAGAAGCCGACGGGCGCAAAAATTCGACTGCCCATTCTCACAAGAGTAAGCCGATTTATCGTAGACACCGAGTGTCGTCGCTGACTGGCACAGAACCCCGAAAGGGACCGAAATATGCACCGGCAACAGGTGTGCAAGTGAAGGCCACACCGATGAACCAGAGATTCAAAGAGATGACGGGTGCGGGAGACAACAGTCCCTTTGACATTCCGTTGCCTTCGACGGAAGACGTCGTCCCGCCATCAAGCGCAGGACCTGTTGTGCCTTCCACCTCACAGCGCGACGGCTATGGGATTGTGCCACCCACACCGTCGAGGGGCGTTTCTGGTCGGGACCCAGTGAGAAAACTTAACTTGAGCTCTTCGTTCTTGCGAAGACCAGCGACGGAGCTACCGTCCATTCCGCCGTCCTCGCCTGTCATGACGAGACGCGCGGACGCGATACCAGAGTCACCAATGGCGCCTCCTAGTATCTCGAAACCACCCACGCAGCCCAGCTCATTCATGTCACGGCTACGCGGTGTGCCAGAGACACCGATAAAAAAGCAACCAGCGAAACCATTGGCGTTTGATGACTTGGAGAAGAAGCAACCAACCCAGACGAAGCCTGTGTCTATATACCAGAAACTTGGCTGGGACGACGATGATGACTTGGACGACTTGTTTTGAAGGGAAAATCATGGCGATGGCATTTGCATCTTTCGCGGCGTATCAGTGGGTGTAAGCAAGCAGGAGGCATGCCTTGACGATATGGGGATGATTGATAGATTGTGCTATAGCATGGCACGGCGTTCACTTGCATCTCTTAAGGGGAGGAAAGGATCAAATTGCATCTGTTTAAAACATAGGCCGCGACTATGATACTCGTGCTGGCTCTATGTGCATCATAGGCAGATCTCGAATGTCAACATGCTCCTGTGAGGCTAAGTCGACAACCCTAATGGCTTCCAATCCCACAATGCCCTCGGTCAATGCTATGAATTGCAGCTCGACAACATGACAAGCGCCCGGCGCGAGTGGACCGAACCGAGCGTCCGCCGTCAAGCAGACGACATCCGTCCCGCCAGAGGCCGCGTTCTTTTGGAGGGCGTGGAGGACGTTTTCATCCACCACGGCGTCCGCGACGTCCATATGGGCCGGTTTGCCGCCCCCATGCAGACTGGCGCCGCGACGGTGCGAAGACGATGACAAGGGCCTTGCTGTGCGATGGTCGCTTTTGCGACGTTTGGGGATCGCGAGGAGGGCGAACTTGCGGGGCGGACGGGCTGCCTTCTCCGTAGAGCGGTTGACAATGTACACGGACCAGGAGAACCTCTCCCCGACATGGATCGGCGTTATGGGTGCCGTGAAGGACATGGTCACCCCTAGATCAGGGATGTTCTTCTCGCTCCGTGTTGTTGCAGCCTCGAGCGAAGGAAGGGCGTCGGGCTGTGTGACAGATGGTGATTTGAGGGATGTCACCGCCTGCCCGCCACCAATGGACAGTTGTGACGGTCGGTGGGCGCGCTGAATGCTGGATGTCCCAGGTGTTGGGCCGAAGCCTGGGTTGACAGGTGTCGTGAAGTCCACCGACGCGGTCCATGACATGTTGAGTGTGGGCGTGCAGATGCCAGGGATTAGCGCCGCTGTCGCGGAGATGGAGATGTCCAGGTCGCGGGTGGCATTTCGACCGGACAGCGCATCCGCGTCCAACGGGGTGATGTGGTAGAGGAAAGTGACCTGATCGTGCTTGACGCAGGGCAGTGGCAACGCGATGCCTTCTACATCAGTAAGGTCCTTGATCGTGGTTTCGGACACGGAGAGGTGGATCTTGTCGATGGTGACTTTGCACTCAAAGAAGGGGGTGAAGTCGGCTTCCAGCATTGCAATGACCGCTGGTGTTGCGGGTGCCGTATTTGGCCGAGTGAAGCGAACTCGGGCATGTAGAATGGGATGTATATCGAGTTTGAGCTGTTGCATAGCTCGTATGTGCTGCATGAGGTCTTGTTGCCGGGTCAAGGGCGCAACCTTGGACACGCGCAGAGCAGAGAGTCGTGGTTTGACGCCATTCAGAAGTGGATCGCTCCCAAAGGACTCGAGCAAGTTGAAGCCAGAGGGGACGCCACTGGGGAGATATCCACCGCCCCCTGAAGCGAGCTCGGCTTTGATGTCTGGCTTCAGGCTGGCGGAGGCGGTGAAAACAATGGACGGGCTCTGCAGTCGCATGCGCGGTCGACCAAGGAACACGGGCAACTTCCAGACTGCATACACAAACTGTGTTGCTTCCTCCTCTGAGTCGCTCTCCTCCTCCCCGACCAGGATGAAGGGGTCGCTGACATCGTCGACGGTGCCTTTGAAGATGGTGTCTGTAGCCGGAGGACTGTTGTGTCCGGACACGCTGCCATTGACAACCTGGGCCTCAACTGACAAAACCAGCCTCTGTAGTTGGGCCTGGAATGCATTCTCTTCAAGCCATGGGGCTTTCAGTATGAGCACCACTTCCACCGTCTCATCTAGAACAAGTCAATGATCGGCTAGCTCAGGGGTACGTTCAGGGGGATGTACCAAAGAACAAGGAATCCCTCGTTTTTATAGATTCGAGGATGGGAGTCCCAGATTCAATGTCGCCAAACAAGTTCTCTAGGTCAAGATTAGTAGCAGCTGACACGAGATATGTGAGATGCGACTGCTCTGCGAACGCGGTACCTGGATCTGGCGGTGCCGCCATCCCAGGAATCCTGTCCATATCGTCGAGATTTGGGCCGGTATTGGGCATCGTGAAGAAACAGCACGCTTGTCGCCCCTTTCAAGAGGTCTGCATGCTTTTTCGTGTGTCCTCGATGGTCGAGGAGGACTGTCGACCCCTGATTGAATCTGAGCTTCACTAACGTGTCTGACTGACGCCTAACTTCACTTCACTGAGAGCAGTTCCCCGTCCCCGCAGGGGTTCATGCGCCACATTCAGCCACACATTCAGCCACAGATCTCATGAGCAAAGCTTACTACCGGAATTTGCATGCTAATTAGGAAGAAATCTTGACTCTCGACGCAACATCATTTAGTCAGTGTACCAAGCACTGCGGCAGGCGAATCGCGAACACCGATTGATTTGGGCACGGAACATTATCACTACTTGAGTATTTCAAGGGCCTTCGAGCGCACCGCGCCACGATGAACGGCTTTGCGCCTCCACCATTTGGCCAGCCACCCTCAGTATGGCAAGAGCATCGAACACCAGATGGACGCGCCTACTATTACAACACCGCGACGAAGGCGACGCAATGGACAAAGCCGGAGGAGATGATGTCGCCTGCTGAGGTAGGATACAGAGGCCAACATCTTGTATGCGTTTTCACTGACAAGCTTGTAGCGCGCCTTAGCCAATCAGCCATGGAAGGAATACACTGCCGAGGGAGGTCGAAAGTACTGGTACAACAACGAGACTAAGGAGAGCTCGTGGGAGATGCCAGAGGTTTACAAGACCGCGCTTGGTGTTAATGGGACGCCCAGCGCACCGACACCGCAGAGTTCCTACGCAGCCAGCGGCCCATCGAATTCTTTTGACCAGGGGCGCGAAAGTCGTGATCACCATGCCGAACCACGTCAAATTACATACCCGTCCGATCCAAAAGCTCAGAGCTTCGTCCCAGCGAGCAACGACCCCGAATACTCGACCGCGGAGGAGGCCGAGGCAGCCTTCAACAAGTTGCTTCGCCGTAGTGGCGTCCAGCCTGACTGGACCTGGGAGCAGGCCATACGCGCGACCGCGCGCGACCCTCAGTTCCGCGCCATCAAGGACCCCAGGGAACGCAAGGCTGCGTTCGAGAAATTCTGTCAAGATGTTCTCGTCCAAGACAAGGAACGCGCCAAGGAAAGATTGACCAAGCTGCGTGCCGATTTCGAGACCATGCTGAAGCGACACCCTGAGATCAAGCACTATACCCGATGGAAGACCGCACGACCGATCCTTGAAGGCGAGACTACGTTTCGGTCAACCAAAAGCGAGACGGAGCGCCGCCAGCTATTCGAAGAGTACATCATTGGTCTCAAAAAAGCACACGCTGAGGAGCAGACAAACAATCGTCGCAGCGCTATAGATGGCCTGGCTGACTTGCTGCCAAAATTGGAGTTGGAGCCTTACACGCGCTGGGCAGATGCTCAAAACATCATTTCGACCACTCAACCCTTTCAGAATGACGCCAAGTACAAGACACTCACTCAGCTTGATGTCTTGACTGCTTTCCAGAACCACATGAAAGCTGTCGAGCGTGGGTTTGCAGCTTCCCGTCAAGAGGGCAAAGATCGCAAGTACCGCGAGGAACGCAAGACGAGAGACGCCTTCAAAGCACTGTTGGCCGAGTTCCGCAAGGAGGGCAAGATCAACGCTGGTACCAAGTGGTCCCAGTTTCTGCCGCTGGTTGAAAAAGATGAGCGCTACATCAACATGGCCGGCAACCCAGGCTCGACTGCCCAGGAGCTCTTCTGGGACATTGTTGAAGAGGAGGGCCGCGCGTTGAGAGGACCGAGGAACCTTGTTCTCGATGTTCTGGAGGTACGTTACAGCGTGAAGTGTGAATGCAGCAAGAGCAATCGCTAACGGGGTGCAGGATAAACGCTATGACCTGACTTCCGCAAGCGAGTTCGAAGAGTTTCTGTTCCTTGTCAAGGATGACCGTCGTACTGCTAACTTCGACCGTGACACCCTAAAGCTGATTTTTGATCGCGTAAGTACTTTCATGCCGAGACGGAAGGGTCCCTGCTAATGACAATAACACAGTTGCGTGAGAAGCGGGTCACCAAACGAGAAGACAAGCGCGACGATGACCGTAATCAGCGCCGTGCCATAGACGACCTACGGAGCTACATAAGGCGCGTCGAACCACCAATCGCCATCAACGACAGCTACGAGGATGTGCGGCCTCGCCTACTCAAGAGTGACGAATTCCAAGCTGTGACCTCGGAGGAGTCCCGACGCGCTGCCTTTGACAAACACATCCGCCGTCTGCGAGAAAAGGAAGAGGATGCTGAACGCAGGGAGCGTCGCCGGGATCGTCCTTCCATGGAGCGCGATCGCCGTGAAAGGGACCGATCCAGAGGCGAGCGATCTCACCGTAGCAGTGGTCGCCGTCGCAGTCGCAGCCCCGAGGTGGATGCGTACGAGGCCGACAGGCGACGAGCCATTGCTGAGCGCGAGCGCAATCACCGCAAGTCAACCATGGCAGAGAATCTGCTCACGAGCGATCGAGGTCGTCTTTCTCCTCCCCCACGTCGGGAGCGAGAACGGGAAAGAGACCGAGATCGCGAGCGGGACCGCGACCGTGAACGTGAGCGTGAGCGCGAGCGCGATCGTGGTCGAGATAGGGACTTTGATCGTCCACCTCGCAGTCGTCGTGATGACGATTCCCACTACGACCGCGAGCGAAGAGTTCGCGAGGAGGACCGTGAGAGACTGTATCGCCGCCGCACGGAGCGTGGAGGTTCGTATGACGAGCTACCTTATGGGGACGAGAGGCCTTCAGGAACCCGACGCCGCCGTGAGGATGAAGACGATTCGGGGCGACGCGATTCACGCGACTCCAAGGTAAGTTCAGACCGCATGAAACTTCTATGACTATGCTAACCATTGCACAGCGTATCCGCAGGGAGAAGAGCCCAGAACGCACCCCTCTGCGTGAGGCTCCTCGCAAGAA